CACAATTCCTCTAGTCTTCTTAATGCCATAAATGACACAGCGCCCTTGTGAATTGTTACTCAGTTTATTAAAGATTTCTATATGTGCACTGGTATGGCAAAAGATAAAAAAGTAGTTTACACCTGCGGTCAGACGTTCAACTGCATTAAAAGCTTTGTTAGTTGGCACTTGTCAGACTATGCTACTGACCATAGAAGGTTCTGTGCCACTGATTTTATGTTTATTGGAATGAAGCTTAAAGGATTTGAACATAAGGAGATTACCTATGCCTGATGAGTCCAATTAGGACAAATGGTTCACACAGTACCTCTTCTTGCTCAGTAGCAATTTTTGGTATCTGTCAAAACTACAAAAACTCCCTCAGAGAGTGAGGGAGGGTGAGGCTTCTAGTATGAGGTCTTGTAGCTCTCTAGTCTGAGAGTGCATAAGGCATCCAAAATACTTAATACAGGTAAAAATCTCTCTGTCTCATCAGTAAAATTAGAGGGTAAAATAATAGAATCAGAATATCTTCAAGAACAAAACTGGGACGATTTGGACAATTCCAAACTTTTCTGGTCTAGTAGTTTTTCATAACAAAAATGTTTCAGTTGTTATTGTTTGGTTATTTGCTTGGAATAAAGGACCTATAAAGGACCTGGCTCAGGACCTATTTCAAATTAAGGAAGTTATTCTGGATTTTTCCTGCACTTATATGAGGATACAGTTTGTTTATTTATTCCTTGTAATTGGTATCCTTTGTTTGATGCTTAGGTTCACAGGCAAACATGGGCACACTTACAAATTATTTAAATAATTTACTATAGAGAAATACAAATAGCCTTTCTTAAAATTTCAGATTGATAGTGTTCAGTGATGGGTTTAAATCCCTCCCAGAAAAGATACAGTCTATTAAAATTATTTGAAATACTGAATTTGATGACAAGAGAACCAGGGATGGGAAATCCAGCTAAATGTTAAAAGAATTTTCTTAAATATGTTTTCTCTACAACATTGGAGTACAAAGAACAGAATATTTTATAGAGCAATTGTATCAATTGCTAAGAATTTTCCAATTACTAATTGCCAATATAACCACCTTTGTGTCAAAGGTTTTATCTATCAATGTAAATAACTTTCTTGTCATTAATAAATATGTGTATTTTTGATGTGCTGTTTTTCACCTTCTTACTTCCACCAGCTAACACCCACAATGAGCTGAGAATGTTTAAGATGAAAAAGTGTGATGAAAAGTTATAGTTTGCACAGTACTTGTGTTGAGTCAATAGGCATGTGATGCTCAGCTTCAATGATTCTCAGTCATTAGATTAAGTTATCACAATTACTAATATGATTGAGTGTATTTTGGCACCATAAGTGGTTTTAAGGACTTACATAATTCTGCATACTTGCATAATAGAAGTTTATTTTGCTTTTCTTTACTCTTCTTACTCATTTTTCTCTGCTTGGAAAGGGAAACAAAATTCTTATCTGTCATGAAAGTCCTTACTAATGGCAAACCAACACTGCTAGAGACAATTGAATGTCTTCTGTGTACTATTCAGGTCCTACTTGTTTGTTGTAGAGGTTCTGTGCTCTTGTTCATCATCAATTGCACTTCAACTGTTGCTTCCAAAGTAGTAAATCCGAAATGAAAAGAATTCAACCATTTCTCCTTTTGGTACAGTAAAGCCATCTTCCCCAGTTTGAGGTTCTCCAAAGCTGTTGAGGTTAAATTGCTTAAGATTTCAAGGAAGTATATTTGGAGGAAATCAGATTGAAGAAGACAGTACACCTTTGTGTTAAGATGACTCTTTTCATTGTGTTTTTAAATCTTTATTTTTCCTCCAGATTATTGTTAAGTATCAACAATACTTAAAGCCACAAAATGAAAGCAAAAACTTTCATTTTTAAAAATGAAATCAAGCTAACCTCTGTCCCTTTCTGCTGCCTGTTACTCAATCTTTATAAAATTATAATGTTATTACAATTGTATATAGTGTGGTTGCATCACATAACTTTTATAGTCAAAGGAGAGGGGAAAGGAATAGGAAGGGGAAAATTTGGATATCAGTCTCAGGTTCAGCCTTAACATATTTATTACTTTTGAAAATTAAAAAAACATTCTCCATAACTCTATTCTTGCTTTTTGGTGCACACTTTTGTAATAGATCTATTTTGCCTCAATTTGAAGAGTTATTCTGGGACATTTTATGACTAGAGAATCCAAACTTTACCCATATTTTGATAGCTTGTCCCGAGGACTGTAGAAATTGCTGATTCCTGTTCAGGTTTTGTTGTGTACTACATAATAGAATGGATTATTTTTTCAAACACATATTCATAAGCTGTAGCCTCATTCTTGCTTGCTTGACTTTAAATCGATTCTCAGGCCAATATTATACAGCTAAGTTCAGATATGTTTAGGTATACCCATCATGCTATTCCTTTTCAGAGTAAGCATTATGTGGGGGAGTGTAGAAAAAGAAACAATAAGGCAAAGAAATGAGTGTATGATATAAGAAAATGAAGAGCTGAAATTGCTTCACACCAATCCCATTAACTGTATTTGCTGAACAGTCCTTGAACCCTTCTTTCTAACATGTGTACACACAGCTTCACTAAATGCCTTTTATTCTGTTAAGTCACTCCATTTCTATTTTTTTAGGAGCTAATTTTCCTCCTCCAGCCACAACTTTCTCAAAGGCCTTGCTGTCAATCCATTCATTCATTCATGTATACACAACTGATCTCTTTACTACTCTGTAGTCCCTATTCAGAGTAAAGTCAGGGCTATTGGAAGGAGCTGAGCATTTACTGGCTGAATGCCCTTCCCAATGCCATGTGGAATGCACAGCAGAGATGTTGTCTTTGTGCTCTCGGAGAGAAAAAACTGCCACTACCTAGGATGGAACTCTCAATTGTCTGAGTGTCTTTACCAATAGGCTACCACAGCGTTCTACTTCCTTCACGCACTGTTGCATGTAAATGTTTAGGCACCATTTGTCAAGCTGTACCTTTCAATGAACTCATAAGAGGACAATAGCTGTCCTCTACATAGTACAGGTAATCTTTGACTTACAACAGTTCATTTAGCGACAATTCAAAGTTACAACGGCATTGAAAAAAGTGACTTATGACCATTTTTCACACTTGTGCCTGTTGCATCATCCCCATAGTCACGTGATTTATATTTGGATGCTTGACAACTGACTCTTTATGATGGTTGTAGAATCTCAAGGTCATGGGATTACCTTTTGAGATCTTCTGACAAGCAAAGTCAATGGGGAAACCAGATTCACTTAACAACCGTGGTACTAATTAGGAACTGCAATGATTCCATTAACAAAAAAACAAACAAAAAAACAATTACTACCTACCTGCCTTCAATCGAGGACCTGTGAGTCAAAAAGAGGGCTGTGAAAATATTTACAGACCCCTCACATCCCGGACATAAACTGTTTCAACTCCTTCCCTCAAAACGACACTATAGAGCACTGCACACCAGAACAACTAGACAGAAGAACAGTTTTTTCCTGAAAGCCATCACTCTGCTAAACAAATAATTCCCTCAACACTGTTCAACTATTTACAAAGTCTGCACTACTATTACTGTTAATCTTCTCATCACTCCTTATCACCCATCCCCTCCCACGTGTGACTGTATGACTGTAACTTTGTCGCTTGTATCCTTATGATCTATATTGACTGTTTCCTAGTATGATTTGTACCTTATGACTATCATTAAGTGTCGTACCTTATGATTCTTGACTCTTGACAAATGTATCTTTTCTTCTATTTATACTGAGAATATTTGCACCAAGACAAATTCCTTGTGTGTGCAAGCACACTTGGCCAATAAAGAATTCTATTCTATTCTATTCTATTCTATTCAAATGTGGCAAGAAAAATCTTCAAATGGGGGAAAACTCACTTAACAAATTTCTCACTTAGCAACATAATTTTTGGGCTCAATTGTTGTTGTAAATAGAGGACTATCTGTAGTATTAAACATGACATCTTTCTGCAAAATTACTATTTATGAAAAGTGGTATACAGTTGCAAAGTGATTTCATTTAGTAACAGATCCCCAGATCCATATTCCTGCAAAATGTTTTGATTCAGACATTCCTTCTTGACGTAAGAAGGACGGACCTAAATGTGCAACCCAGCTGCCCCATCCCTCCAGTCCTGAGGTTATTCTTGGCACATTCGCTGGAATGCAAGAATAGGTTCTTGGAAGTGCATAGTTTTCAAAGATTGCAAAAACTATTCATGCCTGGGATAAGAACCATGAATTTGAATGTCAAATTTCTTTTTCATGCATTTGCTCTGATATTTGTAACATGCAGACCAGCCCACAGAAACCATCTTTGCTCCAAGTTATCCCAATTATCTCTCTGAACAAACAGAGTGAACCAGAAATAGCTAAATCAGATGTGTATGTCCACTGCCGCCTGTTTGCTCGGTATGCAAATTAGAGTGGATTCTTGGGGATTACATTTGGCTTTCTGTAGGGGGGGCGGGTGGGGGGGAGAGCTGACATTTACTGTTTGAAACGGACAGTGAAAGAGAAAGAAGAAAAGAAAAGAAGCTGCTTTAATATTCTTTGTGTAACCACACGGAATCACAGTGTAAGGGAACTGAAAGTAAAGCTCATCTATTTGGAAAACCCAGATAGAAACTTTTTAAGAAGTGGAAAGGACTTTTTTTTGGTTTTCAAAATCAAGAACGTGGACTCTCCCCCCCACCCCCCCTTCCACAAATACGTGAGGTGGAAGTCCGGGGAGAATCCTGCTCATAAAAGAAACGGGATGAGAATAAAGGTAGAGACAAAGGTTGAGATTTTTTTATCAGTGACACCTCTCGAGCAGTGCACTGTCTTTTAAAAATCTGCTGACAGAGCTTGGCATTTGATCATCTTCAACTGCTGATTAACACAGCACTGTTTTATATTTAACTCTGACCAGAGCAGGAGGAGTTGGGGGTGGGGTTATGCTGCTTATAAGGCAAACGGGAGCAGCTATAAAGGTCTTCTGCATGCGTTTCCTCTTTCTTCTCTCCTGAACCGATTCCTGCTTTACCGGTCATTTTTCTTGGGAAAAATCAAACTTTTTGTTTGTTTGTTATCTGTGTAAAAAGGAACGGAGGGGAGGGAGGGAGGGAGGAGAGAGGCAAGCAAAAGCAGATGAAGAGGAAGAAACAGCTTATTGAATACAGCGTTCAGCCAGAGAGAGAGAGAAGAGAGCGAGCAAGTCACTGCACTCTTGCTCAATGTGTCTGTTTTACGTTTGGTAAGCACAGTGGGAGATGCAAGGAATGGACATCGAAGACAAGTCATCCAAAATGCATTGCATGAAAGGCAAGCACGTGGCCATCATTTGTGGAGTAGTAACAGCTGTGGGCTTAATTTTGGGACTCGGATTAGGTTTAGGATTAAAACCTGAGGCCTGCTCAGAAGACAATGGGCAAGTGTCAACAAAACCACCTACCTCCATTACTCCAGGGGTTACACCACCTTTAGAGACCAGTGTGTTTTGCAGTGCCAAAAATGATGAAAACGGACCCTGGACGAATTTCAGGCTGCCCAACTATGTTCACCCAGTTCATTACGACTTAGACTTGACTACTGAGATGGAAGATGAGGTGTACACCGGAATGGTAAAAATCTCCATCAGCTTGGAAAAACAGACAACCAAGCATTTGTGGCTTCACCTGAGAGAAACAAAGATCACAGAAATACCTGAACTCAGGACATCCTCGGGCCAGGACATTGCGATAAAGCGTTGTTTTGGATATGAACCACATGAATATGTGGTGATAGAGGCAGAAAAAGACTTACATCCTGGCAACTATTTTCTGAGTATGAAGTTCAAAGGCTATTTGAATGGTTCCCTGGTTGGATTTTACAGCACAAGCTATAAGGAGAATGGAAAGATCAAGTAAATGTCTCTTTTAACATTTTTGCACTATTAATTTTTGCACAAGGCTCTCCTCTCTTTCTCTCTCCATCTTACACCTTCTCTTTCCTGTGGTCTTTCATGTTTGTGCATATATATATATATATATATATATATATATATATATATATATATATATATTTTTCTTAAGCTTTCACGGGTACTTACATGTATGGTATTCAGCTTTGTTCAGGTATTTCACGGGTACTTACATGTATTGTATTCAGCTTTGTTCAGGTATTTCCCCACGTCATTATAGTTGTGCTTTCAAAGTTGTAGCAACGTTTCAGCAGAATCTCATCTTCCATCATCAGGCTTTTGTATAGTGTACACACACACACACACACACACACACACACACACAAATTAATATCAAGGAATGGAATAATGGGATAATGATAGCTACAACACAGAGATGGTGGTTCTGGGAATATAGTTTATTTTTGCTTATGGATTTACTACATATTTACAGAATGCAAAGGGAACAAAATAAGCACATATCTCTTGGGCTTTTGTTCTATAAAGTTCTTTATCTTATCATATTTTTATGTTGTTAGACAGAATGTTCCAAGACAGGAAACATATGTCTGGTAGTTTAATTTAAATTATTATGATATTATAAGTAATATTCATTATTTATACAATGATGGTCTTTCTATATCCAGGAAGCCTTGCTTTTTTTTTTCTTTTAATGCATAATTTCTTCTGTTTGTTGCCTCTAAGGTATGTTTATGTATAATTGGTTGACAGCATCCAGATTAAGAGCTGATTACTGTTAGATAAGTAGAAATATATTAGTGGAAGGCTAGATAAGAATCTGGTTGTTGCTTCTCGTCCTCCTAATCACAACTTCAAAGTGCAGTGATCTTTGAAATAGGACTTTGGTAGTGGGGTGTCCATTGGGTGTGACAAAAAATCTTAAGCTGTGGAAAATCTCAACATCTCAGTCCGTATACAGAAATCATTTTTATTGGTTTTAAAATAATAACAAAAAGAAAAGGAACAAAATGCAAAGATTTTTTTGGAAACAATGTTCTTTATGCTGTAAATTTCTACAGTTATTGCTTTTTTAACAAGTAAAAAAATGCAACAAAGAAAAAAAGGAAAAAATATACAATATGTTATATCATAACAGCAAACAGTTACAATTCTATATAGGTAGTCCTCTACTTACAACTACAATTGAGCCCAAAATTTCTGTTGTCAATTGAGAGACTTGTTAAGTCAATTTTGCCCCATTTTACAACCTTTCTTGATGCAGTCTTTAAGTGAATCACTGCAGTTAGTAATACGGTTGTTAATGGGGCTTACCCATTGACTTTGCTTGTCTGAAGGTTACAAAAGGTGATCACATGACCTCGGGACAATGCAGTGGTCATAAATATGAGTCAACTGACACGCGACTGAATTTTGATCATGTGACTATGGGGATGCTGCAAAAGTTATAAGTGTGAAAAATAGCAGTAGCATTCATGCTTATATACTGCTTTACAGTGCTTTACAGCCCTCCCTAAGCAGTTTGCAGAGTCAGCCTATTGCCTCCAACAATCTGGCTCCTCATTTTACCCACCTCGGAAGGATGGAAGGCTGAGTCAACCTTGAGCCTGGTGAGATTTGAACTGCCAAATTGCAGGCAGCTGCCAGTCAGCAGAAATAGCCTGCAGTACTGCACTCTACCCACTGCATCACCCCAGCTCTTGTCGTGGTCATAAGTCACTTTTTCAATGCTGTTGTGACTGTGAATTATCACTAAATGAACTGTAATAATTCGAAGACTACGTGTACTTAGCTAGTACAAATATCATTCAAGTATACATATATTTCTAATACATTTATATAACTGTCATGTTTTTAACCTACTGGATTTTGTAAACATGAGCTCCATGTTTCATTATACTTGTCCACAAAAAGTCTTATAGGCACTCCAATCAGAGGTGGCAAATACAATTAGGTCTTCAATCCATGGAGTGTATAGGGACATGTGTTTCTCTTTCCAATGCTGCAGTAGCAGTCTTTTGGACATAATAAGGGCACAGACAATTCATTTAAACCCATTTTCAACCCAACTATTACCTGGTTGGTAAATTCCATGTACTAGGTATGTAGCTTAGGAGAATATTATTCTCTGAATTTTTTTAGCTTTTGTATCTGTGCTCAAGTCATTAAGGCTTTGAGAAATACTCAGATTTTGAAATAAGGCTTGCTTTCTTACGCTCCAGAGGGCTGAGCTACAATCAATGAGTGGAAATTGCAACATTAGGGAAACTTCAAGGAAGAGCTGTTAGATGATGAAACAGAGCACTCCAGGGAGGACCTATTTAAGCAAAAGCTGGACAGCCATATGTTAAAGATTCTGTGGTTGCAAGTTCCCTGCACTGAACATAATTCTATCTTGCAGGCTTTCATAACAGTCTGCATTTTCGGTACAAATTAACAGCATAGAGAACTTCGTTTCCAAAAATCTTACAAGCTATTGTTTAATTGGAAATTCGTTTCATCACCGTGAATGTTACTTGGGAAAGTACAATCAATATTAAACCAAAAGTTTGAAATTCTTCCATGCCTAGTCCAGCCTTTCCCAATCTCATAGTCTCCAGATGCATGACTACAACTCGCATCATCCAGTGCTATTTGGATTTATTGCCTGGAAGAGTTGACAGTTGTAGCCTGAGTGAGTTTCATCCTTCATTCCCATGTTTAGTCAGAATTGTAACTAGGAAACAGTGTGGATTGATGAAGCATTGTTAGTACTGATATAGTCATTCTTTGTATCTAAAGCCTACGGTAGAACAATCAGAAACAAATAGTTTTCCAAGGACTGATTCAGATATACACAATATTTATTGTTTTGTTTGGCCATGTTTGTATTGAGATGCTTGTAGAGGCTTCGAAACTAGGAATTTGTTTTCTTAATAAAATGAACTTTAATGAAGTATTCAGAAGAACAGGTCAGGCTGAAAATTGTGTAAGTGCATGGTGCCACAAGAGCTACAAAGACCGTACTGTGGATTGTCTTCTGACTTTTGAAATGCTGTAGAAATGCCTTAAATTGAAGTCTTAGTCCTATATGTTTCTAGGTAGTTAGTGAGCACTATCTGGTTCCATCCACAAACTCTTTCAGTTTCAAGTACAAGCCATAAACCAGTCTGTATTTTGTGCAATGGATAGAGATTTGAAAATCAGAAGAAACTCTGAACTCTATGACTACAAGAAGAGATTAGAGTAGATGAAGATATGAGTCAGGATTGTGGGCACAGAATTGCCAGTGCAGAATGTTAACTAAAAAACAAAAAAGCAGGATTGCTTTCATTATACTCACTCAGCGTATTTGTGGCCAAGTCTCTCTTGCATGTGACAATTAATGGACTATATTAAGAGACAGTAGAAGTGGGAACATCTGTTTTATATTCATCTGCTAAATAGATGAAAAGGAGTTGAAAAGCAAGCCTTATCCATTTGTTGATCTTAGTCTTCCTTTCAAAACCATTAAGGGATATGTACTTAGTAAGAGCACCAGTAAAGAATCCTTTTACCCGAACAAAGCTGTCATACACTTGAAAGTTAAATAATGTAAAACGTGCTTTCACCATGTTTTGGTATGTACTAATGGGTACTTTGGAATATAATTCTTGTCTACATCAGCCTTCTCTAATCTAGCACCCATGAAATGTATTGAGGCTACAGCTTTCATTATCTGCTTGCTGGGAATTCTAGGAATTGTAGGGTAGGGAAAGCCTGGGCAATATTATTTGGAAGGGGTAGTTTAGAACTTCAGCTGTTCCCCAAACCAACTGATAAGAGACACTACCTACTAGTCAAATGTAGCTACTTGGGAATTGAAAGGAATGTACAGCCTCATATATTTCTTCCATATTCAAAATATCTATTTGTTTTCAGTATTACGTGTTATTTAATTCATATGTACACATAGCAAAGAATAAATTGAAAAGTATGATTGATGTGATGGCTTGTGATAAAAGGCATCAGCAACAAGGACATGGAAGTTATTTGAAACAGAATGAAAATAATGGTATTATAGAGAGCCCCCAAAGTATGTGGAATTGTATTAATAGCAAGCATAAAAAGAATGGTTTTTGGAATGATGAAGTGAAAGAGGCTGTGGATAATGAACAATTTCAGCAATAGTACTTAGACTTATATACCACTTCATAGTGCTTTATAGCTTTCTCAGAGTAGTTTTAGAGAATGATTGCTGAATAAAAAAAATAAGAATAAGAGAAAGATAGGTTTGAACAGCAATCAGCATTTTTCAGAGGAAGTTCTATTTTACCTTTCCAGTATCTACAACATTACTCTGTCCTTGGAAATGGCACAGCATTTTTATGGTCTGTCTCTACTGTGATTATCTACTCCAAATATAATTTCTAATTCATTTTCTAACAGGTCATCATTGTTGGGACCATAGCGATAAAGGTAGTGTTCATGTTGGTGCCTGAATTTCCAAATGCATTGTTGTATTTTATCAGTAAATGATGAAAATCCTAGCTACATGTTCTAATCAAAGTTTTAAGTCCAGTTTTTAAATTTTAAAGAATTTAAAGAACTGAAGGATCAAGTCAGGGACTCTGACAACTTGATTCTTAATGAAAACTTACAAAGTTTTCAGAGAAATTATAGTCTATGATTTTTTTCTTTATTATTTTTTCTATATTTGTTCGGACCTTCCTTACTTCCTTACTTTTATATAGTTGACAGTATTTCTAAACATGTGGTTGAAAAGTTATCAACATTTTGAATTAATTTAAGAGACAAATGTGGTTGTAAGTTCACATTAATCAATTGCTACAATTGGCGATTGTGCACCATATACACAATGCAGTTAATAAAGCATAATTACCTTTACATGAAAATGGTTAATATTAATTTTTGAAACCATTTTAGTGGCAGTTTACCTTGGTCGCTTAAATTATCTACATATCAATTAATATAAGAAACGTCATCATACCGACTTGTTTCAGTATTTTCTGGGTGAACTTCTGCAGCCCAATATTCCAGGTTATTCAAGAATACTGTTAGATTGTATTTCTTGAGCAATGGACAAAGTTATACCAGGATACTCAGAGGGATGAATGATATTATTATGAATATACTAGTTCCTGGTTGTTTTGACAAGTTGCTAAAACTAATTCTAAAGACACACACACACACACACACAAACACACACACAAACACACACACACACACACACACACACACACACTGAAGGCACTTGAAAGACCTTAGCACCTGTTTTTTGAGTGCAATCTTGTTTGTTATATGCGTTGATCAATCAATCAGTCTCTCCATCCATCCATTCATTCTCCAACTATTACAATCAATATGTGTTGAAAGTTTAGTAATATTACTTTTATAGACTTAACTCGTTGTCTAATTTGGACATGTGACATAGATATCTGATATCCTTTTTTATTCAAATGAAATAAGATTGTCCCCATTCTTCTTACAAATTATTCCAACTATCCACAAGTAATGATTTAATTCAATCATGTTCATTCTTTTCCAAAGATACATAGCAGCAACTGATCATGAGCCAACTGATGCACGAAAATCATTTCCTTGCTTTGATGAACCTAACAAAAAAGCAACATATAGTATATCAATTACTCATGAGCATGTTTATGAAGCCATATCAAACATGCCAGTAGAGGTATGTATATAGACTGTTTTGGTTTTTTTTTTTAAATATCTGCCAGCCTGCCCGCCTGCCTGCCTATCTGTAAATATAGCTTGCAACTTGGATCAATGTGTTAGCATACCCTTTCCCAATCTGACTCATCTATCTGTATGTACATATGGTTCCCAGGGAAATAAATAATCAGACTATATGCATACATGCGGCCTACATGTAGATGTGGGTATGTCTGTGGTTCTAATCGTAACTGCTGTGTCTCTGTGAGTGCATTTATGCTTTCCTTCTGTTTTATTTATGTGTTTGTGTATATACACTTACAATAAGAAGTAGATATGGGCTATACATTTTTACTATGCTTCTGTTCTGACCAAGGCTTCCAAATTGTAATTACGCACACACGTCTTTTCAAAACAAGACTTATTTTATTGCAACGCTGGTAATTGTTTTCATTCCCAGCCGGAATTAATCTCAAACAGTCCCCCGAGGTAAGCACACACCTTTCAGTTCTGTGAAGTGCTGTAAATAACAGAAGTATCAAATGAACTGGGGAAAAACCAAAGTACAAAGAGCTGCCAGAATGACTCTGAACCAAATGAACTATTTTGCAAAGGTTTCATCATCTTTGCCTGATCATTATACCTTATGGGAAGGGCAATCACCTCCAAGCCTTACTCCTGAATCCCCCCTTTTGTTCCAGCTGCTCTCGCCTTCTAGCAGCTCTGTGCACACGCGCACTGGGAACAGGCTCCCCTGGATCCTCTGCCTCGCTGCTGCCAGACTCCGAAGGCTCCAAAGGCAGCACCCCACTCCCAGATGGTCCTGGCCCTATCTCTGCATCGGACGTGGGACCCTAATCCGAGTCCTCTCCAGACTCCCTGTCTGGTCCCTGTTCTTCCCAACTGTCTGATTCTGCTGCCATCTGCACTGGCTGCCAGCAAACCACAACAGTTCCATGAATATTTTAGAGGTGAAGAGTTGGCAGCATTCTGAACAACTGCCTGTTTGGTTTTCCCAGAGACATTTTGGAAGAAATGTTTCCAAAACCATTTTTCTCTCTGGATTCCCTTGCTCAGTGTTTCTCAGATTTGAGGAATTCTGGGTGTTGAAATCCATACATCTTAAAACTGGACAGCTTGAGAAATGCTGCCCTAGACATTTTGGATCCAATGGTCACTTTCAAACTTGGTATTTCTTTTCTTGGCTTTTCCCACAGCCAAATTTGACTCCTCTGTGTACAGTTTTCAAAGAATTGTCACACTGGTGGAGACAGTTCTGAACCACTTCCCAATGTATTAGAAAGAATAGAAAAGAATGACACAATATATTTTTCATATTAGTATTAAAGCACAATTTCCTTTGAATAACATGATGTCTGGAAATTCCACAGTGTAAAAGGGTAGGATCTAATAGACAACTGTGTGTGACTAATTTATTTATTTCAATTGTATTATTTCAGTTATGCTTATGTATTGCATTGTGGCCAATTCATACTTGCTGTATAGCTTCCAGATGTCCCCTTCTCAATAAATACCAATGGGTATTTCTGGTATAATCTTCTATGAATAGGGAACTTCCTCTTTCTCACACACAAAACATCAAAAGAGTATACATTAATTAGTGCTGATTTTAATGCCTTGAGAGTCTATTTACCTGGAAATAAGAGCATTTGAGCTCAATGGAATCTGCTTATCAGCAGGCATGCTTAATTAAGCGTGGTTGGGTTCCTATTTCTTGAAACAAAAAAGTTATGGTTTGCATATAGAAATGTTTTTGAAGAAAATTGAAATGAAGTTACTTTGAAGACTTGATTCAATTTATGGTAAGCTAAACGTTTCCTAACCACTTTTGGAAATGTGTTTATTAACCATCTTCAAACTATTAAGAGACCTTTGAAATGACAAGTTTGAAAATTCTCCATCGGGTGAGTTTATCTGCAATTCTGAACAAAAGAAAGATAAGACATAAGGCTTTTAAAGATTTAAGCCTAAATTTAAATTTTGAAATAAACAGCAAAAAGCTAAGTAAGATTTTGAGCTAAAACAGTCATAAATGGATTAAGAGTCCAGTTAATTTATTTTTAATATAAGATTTTAGAATTAACTTTAAAAAATAAACAACTTTCTGTGGGAAACAGATTTGTTTTGGCTATCCTGGCTATTGTAAGTCATAACACAAGATAAGTGATGACATTAGAAATGAGATCCTAGAAAGGACTTAAGATTTAAGCAGGATAAAAAAAATACAAGCCTGTTCTTGATGTTAATTGATGATAGAACTTGTTATAATATGACACAAAATGTTATAATATTGGAAACATTAATGGGGGCTCAAGACAGGAATTAGTAATTGCAATATTGACACTGTTTGTCTGCTTTTGTGGATAGACTGTTCCTAAAAGATGTAATGAAGGAATTATCTGACAAGTCAGAGAATGTATGGAAACTCAAATGATAAGCCAAGAGAATACTTTAGAAAGGGTGCTTTACTGGATATGCAAAAGAAACTGGCTAAAGGGTTTACTAGGTTTACAAAAAAGGTTGTTAAAATCTTGATGAAGCCCATGTAACAGAATAAAGACAAGTAAAATTTTACACCAATATTTGATTGAATTAAAGTTTCAATCTGTTGAAGTAAACTACTTCTTAATAATAAAGGAAAGAATATACAGTTGGTTGAATAATCAAGGTTAAAATAAGACTTTATTTCTTTTCCTCCTTCCTTCTTTCTCTCTCTCTCTCTCCCTCCCTCCCTCCCTCCCCCCTCTCATCATTTACGGCTTTTTTAAGGACTCAATGAATGAATTGATGTGTTTATAAGTAAGGAATTATATATGTGATGAAGAGATATCTGTTTAACCTTATACTGGGTGAAAAGTTATTAAATTTGTTTATACTTGTGATGAAGGTTGTAAGTCATTTCTTTATATTTTTCTTAGTTTTCTTTTTCTTTTTTTGTGCACTTTTTATTCTTGCCTTCCATTCTTTTTCTCTAAGTTTAGCTTGTGCTGGTTTCATTATATTCGGAAGAAGACAAAATTATTGCAAGATAGTAAGAGCAATCAAGTAGGAAAAATCTGCTCAGCAATATTCCAGCAATAAAAAAAGAGATAATTTTGGCTCATCATAAATGGGATGCAGAAATCCAGAGGACAACAAGATGGTAACAAAGAGATGCAGAAAACTGGATTAAATACAGTTCTTATAGTCCAAGAACTTTAACAGTAAAAAATATTGAGTTTCTGGATTTCATTCTGTACATAAAAGAATCATAACAGACAATTGTTTACTCTACAGAAATGCTTCATTTGTAAGCATTTCATTTATTTTTTCTCATATCTTTATTCTCCAGGAAAGAGTTTCATTAGATAGCAAATGGACAAAGACAATATTCAAGAAATCTGTGCAGATGAGTACTTACTTGGTGGCTTGGGCTGTGCACCAGTTTAAATATGAAGAAAGAAAGTCATCTCGTGGAATTCCAGTAAGTTCTATATTATTTTTGCAATTTCTCAAGGATGTTTTGCTTTGCAGAATGAAAAGCAAACTATAGCTTTTACCAAAAGTAATTTTCCTGTGGTTGGGTTTCTCTGTCTGCAAAAAGAGACATCCTATCATTTTCTGCTTAATTGTGCTATTTCACAAAGTTCTCTTACATCACGTTATAAAGCTTTAGTAAAGACTTTGTAATTTTGAAGCTTGCCTTCCTTCTAATTATGTAATTAGGTTACATTCTGAAAAGATACTTGAAGTTATATTTTTTATCTAAGGATCTGAATGAAATCATGTATTCAGAGTAAGTGTGAAATAAAATTTCATCCAAACATAACACATTGTGGAGAATGTTGCCATACTCATCCACCAGTTTTGAAAAAAAGCCACTCCCTTCTGCGAACAATCAAGCACACTACAACGTACAAGATATGTGTAGTGGTTTGACACAGCAGGTGGCAGCATTTAGCCAAGTTTGGCTAATCATCAACCCACTACCCATCCCCATTCTCCACTTCTACTAAGTTAGGTATATCAAACTCAAGGCCCAGGGGCCAGATCTGGCCCATGGGGTGCTTAGATCTTGCCTGCGAGGCCACCCTGGAAAGATCAAAGGACTGGCCCGCAGTGCTTCTGCCAAAAAAAACAGAGCTTGGGAAGGCTGCAATGGGCCCTCTGGAGCTCCGTTTTTGCTGGCAGTGGGTTGCAGGAGGCCGTCGCAGCCAAAAACACAACTTGGGAACCTGTTTTCGCTGGCAAAGCGCTCGGGCCTACAACATAAGTGACATTGAGCTGGTCACACCCACCCCGCCTCCCCAAGGTCAAACAAAACCCTGATGCAGCCCTCAGTGAAATCAAGTTTGACACCCCTGTACTAAGCAGACTCTGCCCTGGTTATTTGGATCGAGAAAGCCATTAGAAAGGCTAGGTTGGAAAATTGACAAATATCTCAGAAGAAGGCAAACCATTCTTATATTGGCAATAAATATACAGGGATGGTCTCCGGTACACAACTGAGCTCCACTGAAAGGGAATATTTATTTTAAATGCTCTGCATGCTTTCCAAAGGGAACCATTCAAAGTCCTCATTTTAAGCTTTCTATGACTGAGGTCCAGATATTTTCATCACCCACATTTGGGAAACACAGCTTCTCCCTGTTGGCACTTACTCCTGCAGCCTTCCAGAAAGAAACTGCAATGGAACTCTTTGATGGGGTCTTGAAGTTATTGTTTGCCTCCTGATCAAGCTTGATTACAATAATAAGGTTATTGTTACTGATGTTTTATTATCCTACTAATATTGTTGCTTGCATTTTTAGAATAGAATATAGAATATTTTTTTATCGGCCAAGTTTGTTTGGACACAAAAGGAATTTGTCTCCAGTGCACAAGCTCTTAGTGTACATATAAACAATAAAGTGATAAATCATAAATTATCATGAACAATAAGATGCAAACAACAAAGTGATAAGTCATAAGATACCAATAGGAGAGGTAATAGGAAAGATGATTATAGGATAGATAATAGAGTTAATAGGATAATATTAGTATTAATATATAATAGGAACCTTTAAATCAGAATTTATTTATTTTTTTGTTTTATTTATTGTATTGTAGGCCACCAGAAGTTAGTATGAATTGGTAGCACACCTTTTGCTATTTCTAGCAGTTATTTATCAAGGCTGTGAGGGGCTACCATCTGAAAGAAAAACACATAGTAACTTCCCTTTCAAATAAAATTTGATTCCATGTGACCTCATGGTCAAATGGAAGCTATTGCTTTTAAGCTGTTGTTTAAAACCTTGGTATCTATTAATAGATGTGTGTATAAGTGATGCATGCTGGTCATAGAAATTATAGAATAAGAGAGTTGGAAAAGTCCACTCCCTGCTTCAGTAGGAGATCCAGACAAATTCCAGACAAATGGCTGTCCAATCTCGTCTTTAAAAAAAGAACCCATGACTTCTGCAGGCAAGCCATTCCACTGATTAATTGTTCTTACTATCAGGATGTTTCTCTCTAATACTAGGCTGAATTTCTCTTTAATAAACTTTCATCTGTTACTTCTTGTCCTGCTTTCCGGTGGGTTGAGGAATTGGTCAACCACCTCTTCTCTGTGACAGCCCCTCAAATATTGCATATCATGCTATGCCTAATCCTTCTCTTTGCTAGACTAGACATAACTAGTTCTTCCATACGCATTTTGCTTTTCATGTGGGAGTTGAAAAATTGACTAGAAATTTCAAAGAATCAAATTTCAATGAAATAATAAGAAAAACCTAATATGTGGCTCTGCTTTGGAAGCTCTTTCAATATTAAAATAGAGATTTACATACAGAATGGATCAGATAAGATGACCTTCACAATCCCATGATTCTTTATTCCAGACTTTAATGAATAAACATTTGCCACTTGAGACTGTTTTCAATTCACTTCAGATTCACAGTTTGTTCAAAAATTTGAATCCCACCTCTGCCTCTGTAAGTAGTTTACAGAGATAGCATATTGCCCTCAATAGTGTGGGTTCTCATTTTACTGATCCCAGAAGGATGGATGACTGAGTCAACTTTGAGCCAGTGGGAATCGAGTTGCCAAATTTGATGTACTTTCCTTAGCCGTCAGCAAAATTAGCCTGCAGTACTGCAATTTAACCACTGTGCCGCCATGGCTCTAAATCAGGGGTGTCCAACCTTGGCAACTTTAAGACTTGTGGCTGAGGAATTCTGGAAGTTGAAGTCCACAAGTCTTAAAGTTGCCAAGGTTGGACACCCCTGCTCTAAATCATATTAGGAAGGTTAGTATTTAGAAGAAGTAACTGAAGACATATGGTATCAAGGTGGAATCTCTCTGACAACATCTTCTACATTGTTTTACAGCTCCGCATTTATGCCCAGCCACTCCAGATAAAAACAGCCAGCTATGCAGCAAACGTAACCAAAGTTGTATTTGATTACTTTGAAGAGTACTTTAGCATGAACTATTCTCTTCCAAAACTGGGTAAATTTCTGTTCTTCATTTTTAATTAATGTTAACGTTTTGTTTTCAGTTTATATGTTCTTTGAAAATTGTAGCTAAGATTAAGTTTAAATAATTGCCTTTTTGTTGCTCACAGTTGTGTTTTATGATTATACAAAAAGGGAGGTGCAAAATGACATCATCTGACAGAGTTTGAATACTAAGTAAACATCTCTCTTGTTCCATTTAGACAAAATAGCAATTCCAGATTTTGGCACTGGGGCCATGGAGAACTGGGGGCTGATCACTTATAGAGAAACTAATCTTCTTTATGATTCAGAAGAATCTGCTGCTTCAAACAAGCAAAGAGTGGCAGCTGTGATTGCCCATGAACTTGTCCATCAGGTATAGTTTGTTTGTTTGTTTATTAAATTTATAGGCCTTGCTTCTCACTATGCAAAGCACCTCTGGAGATTTACTGAATATTGTTGTCAACAAAAAACCAAAGTACATTATTATATTCAAGGAATTACAATGTGCTTATCGTATAAATCATTTTTGACAGTAATTTTATCTATATCCTTCTGAGCTATAAAATAATTAGGTTAATTTGATGTTTTGGATACATTTTACAAACAGGTTTTATCTCATCCTTTATCAATATTTTATTTTTGGATGGGGCTCTTAGCAGCTGCTTCAGCATAAAGGTGTAGCTATTCTTTAGTCTCTGTGTTTATCTATCTATCTATCTATCTATCTATCTATCTATCTATCTATCTATCTATCTATCTATCTATCTATCTATCTATCTATCCGGGTATTTTCCCCACGTCATTATAGTTGTGCTTTTAAAGTTGTAGCAATGTTTCGGCAGAATCTCATCTGCCCTCATCAGGCTTCTGTATAGTGTTCGTCTGTGAGTCAGACTTTTACAGTTGTTGTTCAGACGAACACAATACAGAAGCCTGATGATGGCAGATGAGATTCTGCCGAAACGTTGCTACAACTTTAAAAGCACAACTATAATGATGTGGGAAAATACCCAAACAAAGCTGAATACTATATATATATAGTATGCTAAAGAGTTGTGCTCTTTGTAAGAACTCTTATTCTCTTGCCCCTTCTTCTTACAAAGAAAGGGAAAAGAAAATGTGTGAAAAAATTACACTGATTTCAATATCTCAACTTAGCAGCAGAATTTCTTAATTTCATTTCAATATCTCAGCTTAAGCAGCAGAATTTCTTCACCAAGATGGGACAACTGCTTCCAACAATATTTACAATACTAGCACTCATTAAAATTAAAGTAAAATATCATGTGTAACATGTACCATTTTCAGATAAATGTGCTCTAGGAGACCTCATCAGACTTTTAAAGGATGACATTGTGTTTTCAAAATTACAGTCTCTTTCAATACTTTATCTAAAATATTTTTACCCACTTTTTGACAACAAGCTTTCAAAGTAGAATATTTCAGCTAAGTGTTTATTATCATTTTTAAATGAAAATGCATTTCGAAAAGAAACTAGTTGGAATCATGCAAACATAAAGCTTCAATAATAAAGCACCATAATTATAGCTGCTCAACATATGAGCAAGTTATAATGGTTTAGTTTGGTATTTGAGAAGAGAAAGCAGGAAATTTTCATTTCAAATGATAGAATTTTGCCACCAAGAATGTCCAGTCCTCAGTTATTACCCATCTAAACACAAAACTGAAGCTCTTAGAAAAAGAGCCACAGTTTGTGTTGCCTTTGCATTATTTTCCAGCAAAAAGATAAAATCTCTTGTGCAATATCTAAATAGTCCATTTATGGACGGTACATTTCTCTTCCTATTTTTTAATGCTGTTTGTTTTTCTTTCCTTTTTACTTATTATAGTGGTTTGGAAATATTGTGACCATGGATTGGTGGGATGACTTATGGCTAAATGAAGGATTTGCCAGTTTCTTTGAATTTATGGGTGTAAATGCTAAAGAAAAAAATTGGCAAATGGTAAGAATTCTTGTCTTTGTATAATTATAGAATATGAACAAAGGAAGTATTACTCAGGTTTATGGATATTTTTTAGCCCAAGGATGTTGTTTGAAATTTTTCCCCTAAAATGCAAGAAGGGCTGTTTAGAATAAATTTTGAAGCCCCGTGTTCTGCACCCCCCCCAACCACTGTATTTTTAATGAATTTATTATTAGTATAATCAGAGGTGGTATTCAGCAGGTTCTGACCAGTTCTGGAATGGAAATTTTGAATAGTTTGGAGAACCGGCAAATCCCACTTCTAACTGGCCTCGCCGCATCTGCCTCCCGCGTCCCAGCTGATCAGCTGGTTCTTCTTTTGTTGCCCTGCACAGAACAGAGCTGGAAAGCAGCTTAGGGGGGGTGGGGAAGGAACGGGGATTTTGCAGTATCCTTCCCCTGCCACACCCACCAAGCCACACCCATCAAGCCATATCATGCCCACCAAGCCACGCCCACAGAACCAGTAGTAAAAGAATTTGAATCCCACCACTGAGTATAATGCTGATCTTAGAATACTGATCATTGTTAAAAATCATCTTATATTAGAGAATACTTCTGCTTCTCAATCATCCGTCCAGGATTATAGGAAACAGGCATTTTCACAGAGTTGTTGAATCACCAGCATGGACTTGGAGAATAATGTAGGACAGACTGCTGGGCTGTGGGCTGGATGCGTCATATGCTGGCCACACCCATACCCATTTTAGCAAAGGGGGAAAAAGTCACAATATGTCACATGATGCCACCGTGATGTCGCAAGTTTGATACCCCTGTTGTAGGTGATAGGATGATAGAATCAGTCTGTGGAGGGAAAAGCGGGATTAGCTGAGAATTCCTACATAGCCACAAGAGAACTAAGTGGAATCCCTCCCCCCACCTGAAGTGCTGTAGTACTGTTTACCCTTATCTAACTTTAAGCAGGTTGCCAACATTTAGTTGAGAAGATTCCTGTGCACAAGATTTTAGCTATAAATCAGTTTAATTGAGTCATCACATGTGGACCTGGTTTTTCACTCCTGCCAAATAGTTGTAATAGGCTTCCCCAGTCTATGTGTCCTCCAACTATATGGACTCCATCTTCAGAATTCTTATAAGCAGTGATGGGATTCAATGTCTTTTACTGCAGGTTCCTTGGGTGTGGCTTGGTGGGTGTGCTTTGGTGGGCGTGTCAGAGAAAAATACTGCAAAATTCCATTCCCTCCCCACCCCACCAACCTGCTTTCCAGCTCCATTTCCTGTGCAGGGCAACAAAAGAAGACCCAGCCAATCAGCTGGGACTTGGGAGGCAGAGAATAGATGCGGGCAGGCCAATCAGAAGCAGCCCTTCTGGTTGGTGAATTCTGGGAGTTGAAGTCTACAAGACTAAAAAGTGGCTAAGGCTGAATGCCTCTGATTTAGAAGCTTCAATCTATACATTTTCCTCCTTGTCAAACTTGATGGTAGAAAAACAGCTTAACCAAATATTATTTATTTTATAATATATAATGATGATATATATGATAGATATGCCAGTTCTCTGAACTACTCAAAATTACCACTACTGGTTCTCCAGCATTGGTCAGAACCTGCTGAACACCACCTCTGCTTATAAGTGACCATATTTACTAAGGAATTTTGAGACTTTAAAGTATCAAGGCTACTCTAAAATATCTATAGAAGCATTCCTTTCTAATAATTTAAACAAGATACACCTGCTAAATATTAAGTATGGCTCCTCCACAGGTGATAGGTATTAGCTGACCTTATTTCAAAAGCAAGGCAGCATAAGATTTGGTTAGTACTTGATTGAGAAGATACTCAGGATTTCAGGCATGCAGGATAAATCAAACATCCTGGAAGAAATACTGTTGAATTGCTGCCAAATAAACTGAATGGTTTTGTCTTTTTTTTAACAGGAGTTGGGCTTCGCTGAGGTATTTTTATTTTTAGCGGGATAGGTTTCATTAAGTTATTTAGCTTTGAGATATGAAATTTATAACTGGGGTGTCCAACTTAAGGCTTGTGGACTTCGACTTCCAGAATTTCCTGGCAGCCCTTCTGGTTGGTGAATTCTGGGAGTTGAAGTCTACAAGACTAAAAGTGGCTAAGGCTGAATGCCTCTGATTTAGAAGCTTCAATCTATACATTTTCCTCCCTGTCAAACTTGATGGTAGAAAAACAGCTTAACCAAATATTAATTATTTTATAATATATAATGATGATAGATATGATAGATATACACTGCTCAAAAAAATAAAAATAAAGGGAACACTTAAACAACACAATGTAACTCCAAGTCAATCACACCTGTGAAACCAAACTCCCTACTTAGGTAGCAACACTGATTGATGATCAATTTCACATGCTGTTATGCAAATGGAATAGACAACAGGTGGAAAGCATAGGCAGTTAGCAAGACATCCCCAATAAAGGAGTGGTTCTGCAGGTGGTGACCACAGACCACGTCTCAGTTCCTATGTTTTCTGACTGATGGTTTGGTCACTTTTAAATGCTGACGGTGCTGTCACTCTAGTGGTAGCATGAGATGGAGTCTACAATCCACACAAGTGGCTCGGGTAGTGCAGCTCATCCAGGATGGCACATCAATGTGAGCTGTGGCAAGAAGGTTTACTGTGTCTGTCAGTGTAGTGTCCAGAGCATGGAGGTGCTACCAGGAGACAGGCCAGTACATCAGGAGATGTGGAGGAGGCTGTAGGTGGGCAACAAGCCATCATCAGGACTGCTACCTCCGCCTTTGTGCAAGGAAGGATAGGAGGAGCACTGCCAGAGCCCTGAAAAATGACCTCCAGCGGGCCACAAATGTGCATGTGGCTGCTCAAATGGTCAAAAACAGACTCCACGAGGGTGGTATGAGGGCCCAACGTCCACAGGTGGGGGTTGTGCTTACAACCCAACACCGTGCAGGATGTTTGGCATTTGCCAGAGAACGCCTTGGCAAATTCACCACTGGCACCCTGTGCTCTTCACAGATAAAAGCAGGTTCACACTGAGCACATGTGACAGACATGACAGGGTCTGGAGACACCGTAGAGAATGTTCTTCTGCCTGCAACATCCTCCAGCATGACCGGTTTGGCAGTGGGTCAGTAATGGTGTGGGGTGGCATTTCTTTAGGGGGCCGCACAGTCCTCCATGTGCTCACCAGAGGTAGCCTGACTGCCATTAGGTACCAAGAAGAGATCCTCAGACCCCTTGTGAGACCATATGCTGGTGCGGTTGGCCCTGGGTTCCTCCTAATGCAAGACAATGCTAAACCTCATGAGGCTGGAGTTCCTGCTGTGTCAGCAGTTCCTGCAAGATGAAGGCATTGATGCTATGGACTGGCCCGCCCGTTCCCCAGACCTGAATCCAATTGAGCACATCTGGGACATCATGTCTCGCTCCATCCACCAATGCCACGTTGCACCACAGACTGTCCAGGAATTGGGGGATGCTTTAATCCACGTGTGGGAGGAGATTCCCTCAGGAGACTATCCGCCACCTCATCAGGAGCATGCCCAGGCATCGTAGGGAGGTCATACAGGCACGTGGAAGCCACACACACTACTGAGCCTCATTTTGACTTGTTTTAAGGACATCAAAGTTGGATCAGCCTGTAGTGTTTTTTTCCACTTTAATTTTGAGTGTAATTCCAAATCCAGACCTCCATGGGTTGCTAAATTTGATTTCCATTGATAATTTTTGTGTGATTTTGTTGTCAGCACATTCAACTATGTAATGAACAAAGTATTTAATAAGAATATTTCATTCATTCAGATCTAGGATGACTTATTTTTGTGTTCCCTTTATTTTTTTGAGCAGTGTATATTTATATAATGCTTAGGTAAAATTCTAAAGAATCAAGAAAGTGAGCTACACTAACTACATCTTTTTGACTATTTATTTGCTCTCTATCCTGTTAATTAGCATTCAATTCAAAACTCCTTTTATCCTATTATAGGTGAGATTGACATTTGGCATTATTTTATTTATGCTAATCATTTTTCAGGTATTAGCCTGATTTAGCTAATTAAATAAATCATTTTGAGCAATGGGTTCTTTTTTCTCTGGTGGGACCGGACAACCTGGTCTGCCCAATTATGAGATGGAGCATACCATTTATTTATTATCTCCCTTTATTTCTTTGTCGGTAGAACATAAATTTAATATTTTGGGGAATAATGACTTTTCTTCCCCCAACTCTTTTTTTCTCCACAGCTGGACCAAATTTTAATTGATGACCTATTCCCAGTGCTGAAGGATGATTCTTTGGTTTCATCTCACCCTATTACCGTGAATGTGTCTTCTCCTGATGAAATAACATCTGTGTTTGATGGCATATCCTACAGCAAAGTAAGAACTTCCCCCATAGAACTGGGATTTGAGCTTATTTTTTGATCTTGGAGAAAAAAAAAAAAGGAGATGAACGTTGTGGGATATATATTTTCCACTTCTGTTATATGTGTATATCTGTACTATGTGGTGTTACAGTTCAGAGGCAGAAAAGATGGAGAACTTGGTTTCCTTGAATAGCAGAGGAGCAGATTGCAGGTAGTCCTCAACTTACAATCACAATTGGGACCAGAATTTCTTGTTGCCAAGGCCTAAATTTTGATCACATGACCATGTGGATGCTGTGACAATTGTAAATTCAAGTACTGGTTGTAACTCACTTGTTTCAGTGCTATTGTAACTGTATAGAAAGTATTTGAGGCGATAATTAGACAATTGTGATATCCTGCACTGTAATTTTCATCACTTAGTGGTTTGCAAGAACACAGCTGCCCAAGTCAATATCTATTATATGAAGTGATACACAGGAAATGGTTTTGGTTAAATAAATTAATCATTATCTTTGCCCTAGTAATGACTTGTGGGTATTGTTCCTACCTATAGATTTTTTTATAGTGTACTCTGGGTATTTCTACAGTAGGGCTGTCAAACTCGCGGCCAGTGGGCCAGATGGTTACGTGCTGGCCACTCCCGCACCCGGTTTAGCGAAGGGGGGAAAAGTCATGATACATCACATGACGATGCCATCATGACATGAATTTGACACCCCTGCTCTACACTGTATCAATAATGAATGATACTTAGATGAAAGTGGCCTTGTCTCTCTGCAATAGCCATGCATTCCTATCACTATTGCCTTATATAATTCAGGGAAAGTTGCTATTTAAATGGATTTTCACTTTTATAGTCAGCCTCTTGAATACGTATTTGGGACTTTCATAGTCAAACTCAAGTTATGGAAAAAAGAGAGAAGGAAATGGTCTGAAATTTACAACTGATAATCCCAGCTATGAAATTTATGTGATGCAGACTTCACCTTTGCTTGCAGAGTGGTACTGTTATGGTCCAAATCATATAAGATTTACTCATGACCAGGCATGAATTGCCAATTGTGTTTGCTGGATCACCACATATTTTTAAAGGCTGTAATCACACATCTGGATTGAATTGTGGCAAATAAAGTTTGCTTGCAATCTATTTATAAATTAGGAAGATGTCTTGTATCAAATCAGAGTGTTACTCTACTTCTGTCAATGTTGTCTTGGTTGATTATGAACAGATCTCCAGACTCTCCAACTTAGCAGTGCCAGTGATTGAACTTGGGACCATCAGTATGCAAAGCATGTATTTGCTATTGAACTCTGACACTTTTCTCACTGGATTGCTTCAAGTTGGAATGGGAATGGGAAAACAAATAATAATAACTGTGTAAGTTGGCACAAATCACATGAATTGGCATGCCAAATGGAGCTGGCAAAAATTTATCAGATAATATCTTCATTTGGCTCTAATAAATCCTCAGTTTTCCAGATGTTTTCTTCCCATTTCTGTTTTCTGTCTCTCTTTCTGAGGGTGTACTTTAGTTTCTTTTTGTGGTGCCTGTGCTTACTGAATGGTTGTGAGGTATCAAGAAGGGTACTTCTCTTATTTTCTGTTCTATATCTTTCTGTGATCCTGAAGTTTCCTTGCCTATCCCCACTTCCCAATCTTCTAAAGTGCCGTAGAAGTATGTTCCTCACCTTATCTGAGGTCTAATTGAAATGTTGGAAGTCAGGGAACTTGTACATGGCTGGAAAGATTATTGTACCAGGGAAAGACAGGTCATTAATCTGTACACAGACATATGCTTACTAGGTTATAATAATTTTGTCCATCAGTGAGAATTGTATTAAAATGTTCTCCCTAGAACTGAAATCCAAGTTGAAGTGATCTTCATCACAGTATTAGTATGCACAAGTAACTATTGAAATGTTTCTAAAGAAATCTATGTGTGTGTGCTACCTTTTATCGGCACTTATCTAGCGAAGTCTGGAAACTAGAAACTTCAACAAACCAGAACTTTTAGATATGTTGGTTTTTATCAATATTCCCCAAAATGTAAAAAAAAAAAATCATTGTGAAGCCACAAAAACCCAACAAGGGCTTGAATTCAGTAATTTGGGACTGAATATTTTTATATGATATCTGCTTATATAAAGATAAGATTTCAACAAATGGTAGGCAATGTTTATTTGTTTAATTCTTGGTTATAAAGAGTTTACTACAATACAAAGAATATCTAATATTATGCTTGTATTTCTGGATTGCACAGAAATAGGGAGAGTATACATCATCAGTGTGTTTTATTCAGGCAAGCTTGAACAGTTTGTTTACTTTTTTAACACCTTGAATATAAATTGGTATATGAAGTACTATTTATCAATATTATCAAATCTCTACTATCTAGGGAGCGTCAATTCTCAGAATGCTTGAAGATTGGATCTCACCAGAAAACTTCAGAGCTGGATGTCAGGTATACATTCAGATTAAATTAAACCCCAAATGGTTAATAACTTGAGGCTGTATATATTTCTCTGGGAGAAATTATTGGATTTCAGTTGTGACTTTGAGGAGTTTGTGTGAATTAGGAGTTAGGACAATATTCCCTAACCTAGTACCTTTCATTGAGTTTGGATTAAAGAATCCAGAATTCTTTTCTTTTAATAATAATTTGATTTACAATAAAAAATATTTACAATAAAAGGCATCCCCACAAAACTGTAAACATCTAACATTATTATGTGATTTATATACATTAACTATATTATATATTTATATGCAGCACAAGTCAATTCCGCTTCACTCAAAGCGGCCTAGGCAAGCCAGAAGGTTGGACAACAATGTTTTTGTCCCTTTCAGCACTCCATACTTCTGTCACCATATGGTCTTCTAAAAACTTCATGGTTCCTTTTTTCTACTTGTCTCTTTGTTTAGCACAGTCAACCAATCAGCTTCCTTAACAAATTGAAATGTTCTTCTTTCCCATGGACATATCTGTTTATTTAATTCAAATATGTGTTTTAAATACTTTACATGAGGTGATATATTCCAAACTTTAGTCCCTTGTTCAAGTTTCTTATTCCAAAATCTCAGTAAGCTTTTTGCATTTAATTCTTTTCAAATCTTTGTAATTGCTTCCTTCTTTTTATTTAATCTTTCCCAGATTGAAAATACATTCACCCAGATAACTTTGGATGCTTGTTACACTTCAGATATGTTCAGGGGTGGGATTCAAAATTTTTAACAACCAGCTCTGTGGGCATGGCTTAGGTGGTGGGAGTGGCTTGGTGGTCATGTGACTGGGTGGACATGGCTTGGTGGTCATGTTAATGGCTGGGCATGGCCAACTCAATATCACTCATATCGAGGCACGTATCTCCTTGCCTGACCTCTCATGACTGTGGCCTCTCATGACTGATGCTGTAACAGTCGTAAGTGTGAAAAATGGTCATAAGTCACTTTTTTCAGTGCCATTGTAACTTTGAATGGTCACTCCACACAAGCAAAGTACCAGCAAAGGAGGGGGAAAAAACTCCTGACTTCCTGTTCCTGAGACAGGAAGTCTATTCCTGCCAAGAATGTAATAAGCATTAACAGAGAGGCAGTTTCTGTAAGCAACACCAGAATGTTTCCCTCCTGCCTTCCTTACAGGATTAGGCCAGTAATTTTTTCTAACAACTGCTTCTCCAAACTGCTTAGAATGTTAACAACCAGTTCTAGTGAATAGGTGCGAACTGGTAGAATCCCACAGAATATGTTCCATTTAAACATGCTTTAGGAATTGGATCAGGCAGTCCCAGTTTAATTTTAACATGGTTCATGCATGGCTGTGAGAGTGATATCTTCTTCTGTGGCTCCTGCTACTCTATTCAGAAGTCAGCCTCAGGGTCCCACTGAACTCTGTGGACTTCCTCCTGAAAACCTGCCCCTTCCCCAGAATACATGTGGGTAATCTCACGACTTTACTTTGTCTAAAACAGAGGTCTCCAAACTTGGCAACTTTAAGACTTGTGGACTTCAATTCCCAGAATTCTGGGAGTTGAAGTCCACAAGTCTTAAAAGTTGCCAAGTTTGGGGACCCCCGGTCTAAAGAAACTATATTAGCTCAGATATACTTGTCAGTCTTTGTTCCTGCATGATCCCCATTGTTCATGGACAGGTGTTAGTTGCCCTCTTTCCACCCTGAAGACATTATTCATCTTTATCTCAAAATACACTTTGAGGATATATTTATCTCAATGTACAATACATGCATATACACAACACACACACACACACAAACACCACACACCTCTTTCTGCCTTAAAAGTGTTGGTTGAATAAAAGGTTGGTTTAAAAGAAAGAAGACATATCATGGTTCTACATGCTGCCAGCCTACGTTATAAAAGGGGATCTATTAAGTAGAGCTAGACTTTCAATTCAATGTGTGGAGTGTGAATGATGTGTCTTTGTGTTTATTTTCATGGTCATGATACACACTGAAGATGGTGTTTGATTTCATTGCACAAGGTGCAGTGACAATTGCACAAGGTGCAGTGACAAACTAAACTAGAACTGAGATCAAAGCAATTAAGATTTCAGAGCCCATAATAACGTCATAATTGCTGGTTGAGAAATAATGATTGTACAAGCAGTTCTCTACCTTCTACCCTTGATCAGGATGCAATTGGTTAGCATATTTGATCTGTACTTTTGATTCAAGGTAGGAATAGTCATACAAACTTCATGAAAGCATCAAAGTGCAGAGTGAGACAAACAGTGCCATCTATTGTTCTAATGCAGAAAATTCAAATATGTAGGAAGAGAGAAGAAAAATGTGATTTATCATACCATACTTCAAAACAAGAGATGACTTCTGGGTTACATGTAACAACTACAACTATACAACTACAACTACACACACACACACGCACATATATATATATATATATATACACATACATATATATGCTTCAAAAGAGCTTCCACATTGCTGCTATGAAAACATTTCTAGAAACTGTGTCCATGGTTGACTTCCATGAGAAGAAATCCAACTGCTCCAGTTTTTCCTGCCACATCTTCCACACCTTCTGAGATAGGCTAGGCTGAGGGATAGTGACTAACCCAACATTTTTGATGAGCTTCTGTGGCTGAGAGGGGCTTGAATTTTGCTACTTCTTCTTTTTTATCATCTTATCCATTACTAAACCATATGCACTCTGACAAAGGGAAATACATAGTTTTGATTTATAACTTTCAATCTCAGCATGACCACTCACAGCACAACGGTTACAACTTTCAACCACAGCACAACCAAGATAGTGTCTAGTATCAAATCTAACATGCAATGTTCTTCATCTCTCTGTTGGATGTATTGGAATAGCCACGTCCTCCATCCACCCTACGAAGTGAAGAGAAACTAGTACCAAAGGTTCATTTTTTTTCAAAAGTCCTCTGAACTTTTATTGGTTTAGAACCGAACCTAGAAGAACTGAATAAGCATCTTGGATGAGAAGCAAAATGTTTTCAAAAGGAAAAAAACCCAAGAAAGTCCAGTTACCTTTTGAAAAAAAGCACCTCTGAGACAACCACGATGACCCTGGATGATTGAGAATTTCCATAGACAAGGGAAAAGGAAGGTTTTACTGATTTTCTTGCACTAAGTTATTAATCTGAAGAAGAAATAGAGGTAGTCCTCAACTTATAACCACAACTTAGCCCAAAATTTCAGTTGCTAAGTGAGACATTTTTAAAGCAAGTTTTCACCCATTTTTCCACCTTTTTTGCCATAGTTGTTAAGTGAATGCAGTCATTAAGCTAGTAACTCAGTGAATCTGGCTTCCCCATTGACTTTGCTTGTCAGAAGTTTGCAAAAGGGGATCATATGATCCCGGGACAATGCAACTGGTCGTAAATACGAACCAGTTGCCAAGTATCTGAATTTTGATCATGCAGTGGTTGTAAGTGCAAAAAATGGTCATAAGTCACTTTTTTTTCAGTGATATTGTAACATCGAGCAATCCCTAGATAAGTTGTAAGGCGAGGACTAGCGATAGTGATAGAATCTCCTTTGCTTGGGTAAAAGCTGCCACATGATGGAATATGTACCTTTAATCAACCTTTCCATTTTTACCAAACCAGGCATGGTGCATCCATAAAGAGCATCCCACTCAGCAGAAGTTATCCCCATGCACAGTTCTTGTCAAGCTTGCCTCTTTTGTTTAAAAGCTGACCTTGGGTAGAAATTCAACAAGAAGGCCAAAAAAAAAAACACAAAAAAATTAAGTTTGAAACAAAAGTGCTGGGTTGGGATGTTGTGTGTAGAGAGGAGGCAGAGAACACTTAAAAGACAATTCAGCAAAAACACAGCTGTTCTCTGACAATAAAATCCACACTCTGAATCTTGCATGTCTGCAGGATCGGCTGGTTGGTCCCTGAAAGCAAGTTTCAATGCTTTTGAAAGGACAAATCTATTCTTTATCCAGCAGTGACACTGAGAGTCAGCAGTTTTTAGCCTGACAAATGCATTGGGCTATGCATCAGGGCAAAGAGCTGAGAAAGAATGAGAGAGAATTCTAGTTGTGTTCTTTTTTCTTTTTTCAGTTGTTGGTTTACCAAAATCTACTACAGTCGTGTGCTTAGATTATAAATTCCTGTCTTGTTTAATGGATGAGGGACTTATTTTGGGATGTGTGTTCTTGAATAATTGAAATAGAAGGTGAAGCAGAGTATTATGAGAGCAGTCCCACTTTACCTAAATAGCTTTCACTATTATAGAAATAATTAAGGCCAATGAAAGTTGCATTTCTAACTATGTTTTAAATCAAGGACATTTTTAAAATTCAAGGGTTTTTTTTTCCCTTCACCTTGGGGACTTTAATGAAAAAAAAAGTATGGACATAAATAATTTATTTTGCATCCTGCAAACTGGGTTTTTAGAAACACAGCATTGTACACCCATATCTTATATATCAGAGTGGAAACTTATTTATTTATTTATTTATTTATTTATGTCAATCGATTATAAGATAACAGGTATAAGTATAAACATAGTTATGAATACATGAAATGGATACTTATAAGAAAAATAAAAAGAAACAATAGGACAGGGACGGTAGGCACATTGGTGCGCTATGCACACCCCTTACAGACCTCTTAGGAAAGGGGTGAGGCCAATAGTAGACAGTCTAAGGTTAAAGTTTTGGGGGTTTGGGGAAGAAACCAGGTAGAGTATTCCAGACATTGACCACTCTGTTGCTAAAGTCGTATTTCCTACAATCAAGTTTGATGCAGTTTACCTTGAGTTTGTATCTATTGTGTGCTCTTGTATTGTTATGGTTGAAGCTGAAGTATTCATTGACAGGTAGGACTTGCAGCCCTCTGGATCTTCTTGGGTGTTTAGTGGGATGTGATGAATTGCCCTGGAGCTTTAAAATCAGAACTGGATTTTTTTAGAAAACAAATGAGCACTGGCGACTTATTTGGCTACCTTTGTGATGGGCTTTATTTGTGATCAAAGAGTGATCTGGAGAATGACAAGTTAAAGAAAGATGTTCTTATAGCAATCACTATAACTTGTTGTAAATATTATGGTAAATGCTAATGTTCAGAATTTGTAACCTTATGCAATCACTTTCTCTTCTCCCACAGAAATACCTAACAGACCACCATTTTAAAAATGCAAAAACAGACGATTTCTGGAAAGCAATGGAAGAGGTATGTTCTCTTTCTCTCCAGTAAGTTTATACTTTTCACTAACAGCATCTGAGCTTGCATGAGGGAAGAAATAATAATTTAGCATTAATCATGCTTCTTATGTTGTTGTGATGGCACAATTAGGAAAAGACAAGAAGAGCACAAATAAATTAAACAAGTATGAATTAATGAGTCTAATAGCAATTTGCAACTGCCAAATTTATCTGGCTAGATTTGTAAAGAAACTGAAATAGCAAAGCAAGACTCAGAGAAAAAGTATCAAAGATTGAACCTCAATTATGTTGTATCCATTATGTTGTGGTACTAACCAAATACAAGGTTTGATTGGAAGACCAAATGATTATCTTAAAAATATGCTGAGAAGCCAATCAAAGGAAACAAAATGTGCATTAGCACAAGATATGCCACTACAACTCCATCTACAATTTAATATCTGTTGCAAATAAATGAACTGCTCAAAACCCTCCTGGAAAATTGATATCATCTCTACTTTTGGTGTTGAAGACTCTCTCAGCATGTTGTTGTTTTTAGGTAAGTGGGAAGCCTGTCAAAGAAGTGATGGACACATGGACCAGGCAGATGGGTTATCCTGTGCTGAAAGTTAATTCAAGCTCAACAGTCACACAGCAACGTTTTCTATTGGATCCCAAAGCAGATCCCTCCAAGCCATCTTCTCAATTGAGGTATCTTCTGTTTAACAGTTTGATATGATATTGCTAGACTGGGAAAGTTTGCTTTCTCAATGGTCTTCACCAAGTTCTTCTCACATAGATAATTGATATTATAATAAAATAGTAAAATGAGCCATGGTGGTGCAGTGATTAGAATGCTGTACTGCAGAGTACTCCTGCTGACTGCCGGCTGACTGCAATTTGGCAGGTCAAATGTCATCAGGCTCAAGGTTGACTCAGCCTTCCATCCTTCCGAGGTGGGTAAAATGAGGACCCAGATTGTTGGGGGCAATATGCTGACTCTGTAAAAAAACAGGGGCCATGTGAAGCACTGTGAAGTGTCCCAAACATGCTTTTTCAAGAGGTAACTGGACTTTCTGTTTTTTTTCTTTGAAGATGTTTTGTTTCTCATCTAAGAAGCTTCTTCAGCTCTGGAACTGTTGCTAATTTCTATAGCTGAGCAGGTATAGAATACAGGTAGTCCTCGACTTACAACCACAATTGAGCCCAAAATTTCTGTTGCTTAGCAAGATGGCTGTTAAATGACGTTTGCCCCATTTATGACTTTTCTGGCCACAGTTGTTAAGTGAATCACTACAATTGTTAATAACATGATTGTAAAGTGAATCTGGCTTCCTCTTTGAGTGTGGTTGGCAGAAGGTTACAAAAAGTGATCACTTGACTCCAGGACACTACAACTGTCATAAATATGAATCAGTTGCCAAGCGTCCAAATTTTGATCATTATAAAAATTCTTTAAAAAAATATGTCTCCTTTCTGAATTTTCAGTTACAAGTGGAATATTCCAGTGAAATGGGAAGCAGGGAATACATCAAGTATAACATTCTACAATAAATCAGAATCAGCAGGTAATCAAAACTAACGGAGGGTAACTATCCACAAAGTAAATTTTTTCTTAAGTCACATCCATGGAGGGCTGATACCAAAGTGGTTTGACATTGCTTTCCTCTGAATTGTTTTCTCAAGTTCCAGTCTCTCCTTCGTGATGTCCTGTTTAGGTATAACCAGGCCAAATCCAACTTGGTTTCCAAGCCTAGAAAAATCAGAGTAAGTGGCATTAACTTGATAGGAGTTTTTTTTTGAAAGAGCAAGGTTGCCCAAGAAAATGTACCACTTGAATTACGAAGAAGAAAGATTGTTCTTTTCACAGTTCCTTCTCAGATGATAGCAAATGTCACAACTCTACAGCCTTTAAAAATCTTTGACTGAAAATTTTTGAGATATAATTGATAACTGTCTATGCAGTCAGATACCCTATCCATCTCTCAATGAATTGCTTTGCAATATGTAGGATAACCAGTTAAGGTGACAAATCACTCCAAAATTCAAAAGACCAGGGACTCCCCTTAGGCATAATGAAGGACTGGAGAAGGTAGTCACTATAATCATTGTCCATGCTGGCCTGTAGACTCAGTTGGCTGCTTCATTATTCTTGGTAGAGTTGACCATTTCTTACATGTCTTAATAATGCCGTGTGCCTTATATAGGACTTGTTATGTGTCTAGTTTAAAATTTTCAGTGAATACAGAACAACACAACTGTCCTGAATATGGAATACAGAATTTAGCAGTCATGCTAGTCTCCAAATAGTACTAGAAATACTACACAGATTAATCATTTATTTATGGAAGGATGACAAAGCTCAGCTTATAATCCTTAAGATTCTGTATGGCTTGGATCTATGCTACTTTGCGGCTTGTTGTTAATGATTATTCTTTCTACAACAAGATTATGTGAGAAAATTCACCTTATAAGGATGTCTGGCCCTGTAAGATAAAGGGCTTCAATCCTCTGGGTTACACAACCAATTTCTTGCTTTGGGGCATTGCTGCTATAACTATTGATCTTCCATGAAGCACCTTGCTTAGTTCCCCTCCACCCTTAATTATGGTCTTTGATACAAATGGGCCCCACACTGCCTGTTCTTAGTACAGAAGTACTTTTTTATTAAAAAAAATAAAATGATCAAATACAAAACATATTTATACTTCAAATATTAACTCCATTGTCTCTTTAAAAGGGGAAAGGGAGAAATGGGCTTGATAAAACAGATACTTCCAAAATGCTTAAATGTGGCGGAGGAGGAGACATTACAAAACAAGATGCATATTCCAGTGACACCACAAGATGGCGCTGATCTGCTACAAATGGCTAGTTTCATACTCCGCTCAATCTTGCACTGTTCCAAATTCAACATGGAAAAATAAAGTCATGCTTATCAACTTTATTCAAAATATATAGCTGGGAAACGTATATACTAATCCACACATACATCAGAATTGTTTAATACAGATTTCCTATGTAATATTTTTACCTATTTCTGCAGAAACAAATTGAATTTTGATGAAAAGTCCTTTCCTTTCCTTCATCTTTCTGCTGTCTGTCTGTCTTGAAATTATATGCATGCCCTACTCACAAGTGCCTCCTGGTAGTTACAACAATCATCAATTCAATTCAATCAATCAATTAATCAGAATAGAGCTGAAAGGGACATTGGAGGTCTTCTAGTCCAACCCCCTGCTCAAGCAGGAGATCCTATACCATCTCAGACAAGTGACTGTCCAGTCTCTCCTTAAAAACCTCCAGTGTTGAAGCACCCACAACTTCTGAAGGCCAGCTGTTCCACTGTCCTCACTGTTAGGAAATTGCTCCTTAATTCCAGGTTGCTTCTCTCCTTGATTAGTTGCCATTCATTATTTCTTGTCTTGCCTTCTGGTCCTCTGGAAAATAGGTCTACACCCTTTTCTTTATGGCAGCCCCTCAAATACTGGAATACTGCTATCGTGTCTCCTCTAGTCCTTTTCTTTAGACTGGCCATACCCAATTCCTGCAAACATTCTCTACTATCCAGATGAAGCAGCTTCTTTTTTTCTCTTTATTCTTAAGGATTCAAATCCTCCTAAATATAGCAAAGAGAGAGAAATTGGGGCATGTAAGTGACAGAAAAAAATACCTCCCTCAATGCTGATTCTGCTTAACATGGAAAATGTGTATTCCCAGTTTGACAAGCTAGGAATGCAGGCTGGCATAACAACATGCTTATAGTGTTCATTTATCTCTTTATAGCTGTTTCAGAAACCTTACTCTAAAAAAATATTTATTGCTTTTACTGTTTGATTTTATCTGTGGTTCTGACTTTGTTTTTGCTGGGAATGTGGGGGGGGAAGGGGCACAATTGTTTTCCTGTCTACTTGATGGTCACAATTGTTTTCATGTCTGTGGTCACAGAGTGGAAAAATAACAACTATTACTCACACCCTAAACTGGTTAGGTCAACTCTATCCACTCAAATGCCTCTCTGATGCAGGGAAAGAGGGAAACATCTTTACTTGCATTCTATGCAGTGTGAAAAGTGCAGGTCAGGAAAAACCGCTTAGACTAGGTGGTTGCACCCCATTTCTCCATCACTGTGTTGAATGGTCCGGGGTGGAATTCTGTTCCCTTCCCCTGATAGAATATAGTCCACCCTCTCTGTGCATGCATGGGCTCAAAATATAATATGATTTTTAGTCCAATTTGGCTGCTGCAGGAGGTGTTGCAAAATAATCCCTGGTTTTTGGCCACGAAGATGGCTAATCTGAAAATGAGAAATTACTGATGCACCACCATATTGATTTGTGGATGAATTACATACTTTCTGACTTAAAGTGAATGCATTCTGGTTGTTATTCTTTGTTTTAATAAACCACACCATGGTCAAATTACATACTACCTACCCTATGAACTTAGCAGCCAACCATTTTCTTTTTTTAAATGTCTGTCATATAATATCAGTTTACCTGTACTTCAATAATCAGCAAAATTAAATCCTTTTCTTTCCAGCCACATTTTAGGCTAATTCAACATGCTATTCAATGACTGAACAGTGATGACTCAACTTGTACAACATGCAAAAAACATGGGCTGAATTCTAATAAAGAACAATAGCTATCAAAGGCTTCTTTTGGTTTAGGCTAGTAGATTGTGTGAACCCAGTCTTCTTAGTCTAAAGAAAGGACTCTTCCTTCACAGTGTTTGAATGCTCTACACCAGGGGTATCAAGCTTGTGGCCCACAGGCCGGATGCGTCACACACTAGCCATGGCCACGCCTGGTTTAGCGAAGGGGAAAAAAGTCACGATCCGTCACATGATGATACCATGATCACGTGGGTTTGACACCCCTGCTCTACACAGTAAAGATGGAGTAGGGTTGGAGGTAACTGCATTGGAGTTCTGCTGGAAAAACAATGTTAGAAGATAAACAATAACTAGATGTGGTTTCTAATTCTGTGAAAACTCCCATAAATCTCTACAATTCAGTTGATCAGCTGCCCACATCCAGAGACTCAAAATAGATGAGATGTGAGATGAACCTTGTAGAGGCTGAATAAGTAGGGGCTTGTAATAATTAGACACATTGCAAATGGGTTTTAGCTTTTTCACTTTTGCTGAGATCCTGGTGAGAATTATAGAAGATTTTACTGTTTCCTCTTGTTTCTTGGAAAGAAAGTGGTGAAGTCAGCAAAAATGTTAAACTCCTCCTAATAATTCTCTCTGGATATCTCTCTCTCTCTCTCTTCATTTTAAAAAATAGTCCTTCTAAATAAAGTCAATGTTGTATCAGTTTTGGCTGTTCCTAAAGTTTGTCTTTTGGGAAGATATTTTATACCATTGTAACACATTTATAACTTATTCTCTACTTTTTTGTTTTTGATACCACCACAGGAATTACTATTCTACGACCCAGTGATCTTCCTCCCAATTCTTTCTTGAAAATAAACAAGAATCATGTTGGTTTTTATCGTGTAAATTATGAACCCCAAGTCTGGCGTGATTTAGCTGATACTTTGATGAAAGACCCCCAGGTCAGTCTGCTGAAATTAATTGTTGGTTCAGTTTTGGAGATGATGATTCACTATATTTTATTTTTATCCATCTGATGTCAACTACTTCTTCTTTTTTCTCTCCACTCTTAGAATTTTAGTCTAGCTGATCGTGCTGGTTTTATAGATGATGCTTTTGCGTTGGCCAGGTAGGTCTTATAATTAAATTAATGAAACACAGTTTGTTTAATGCTGTATTAAAATTAGCTAATTAACAGAATATTACCTCAAGAAACATATGTGAACTGCCACCTGCAAATACAATATATTACAATTCATCTTCTTGTTGCTAAGGTGCACATTTACTTTGTGGTAATATCCAGTGGACATGGAGGAACTTACTACAGAGTAATTACAAATGTCCTTTCATTCCTTCGTTTGTTCTCTCACTGTCATATTTAATTCCCAAGCTTTTTTTGGGGGGGGGGGGGAAACAGACACCATTATTTATTATTGGATTTTGCAGTATAGATACTCCATGAATTTTAGAATCAGTGAATCTGGAAAGTAAGTACTTACTGAGATTGAATTTGGAATACTATTATTAGTCAGATCTTCAAAATTTTGTGCCGCTGCTCTCTGTACAAACATACCAAAATGTATAGTACATACTGTAAGCTACATGTGACTTTATTCTTATTGCAGAACTCTTAATCTATTTTATATAAACTGATGATTGGATCATCAAACACTATGTACTGGCTTATGGATCACCTGAACATAGCCTCGTGGTGGCAGCTTTACCCCTGCCTCTGTGACTATGGGATGAAATATGGGATAGAAAGATTAATATCATTTACTATTCTGTCTTATGATTCACTTGCTGAATATAAAGGCAGATAGAATAACTGTACAAATTCTTCCATACAAAGTTTCTTTTATTATATTAGGTATCCTCAAGGTGACTCACAGTTATGTCAAGATGCATCTAAGGTCCAATTCTTTGCATAGTTGAATTGTGGTGTAGAAAGATAATAAGGTCTCAGCCCATGATGATTGAAGCAGCCACATGGTAATAGATTCAGGCAAGAGTGAGGGAGCCTCCCCCAACCCAACAAGGGTCAATTTAGTGACCATTCAGGATTACACATGTGACCACATGACATGGACTACATTTCCCAGGATTCCTTAACTATATTTACCATGATGCATTCCTTTAAGGGGGCAGCTCTCAAATCCTAGCTAACTATCCCAAATCCCATTAACTCTAAACTGTCTGGACAGCACATGGATAGAATAACAACTAACGAATAACAACAACAACTAAATAACTAATTAATAAATAAGTGACAGTCCATCGGATTTAATTCCTAAGAGGTTTCTTCATTTTCTTTGCTCTTCATTTCCCCCTTAGAGCTGGACTTCTGAAGTATGCTGATGCATTAAATCTTACAAAATATCTGGTAGATGAGAAAGAATATATACCATGGCAAAGGGCTGTAGTAGCAGTATCCTATATTGGACACATGATTGAAGACGATAAGACACTCTATCCCAAATTTCAGGTAAAGTTCCCGTGAAATTGAATATACCATGAAAACAACAATAGTCCTCACATTAATTTGCCTTCTGCAGTAATGCTGAAGAACTGACTTCATCAATATGGAGTCATGGTTTTGTTTTTTGTTTTTTGAAGTCTTACTGCATTTCTGAAATCAACTGTGGGCTACTGGGGGTTTGCAGAGATTTGGGAGAGCCCCTGTCTAAGATTCTGTGCAGTTTAAATCCCACTCTTGGCTGGCCTTACCCACCCACCCTGTCCCCTCTAGGAGTACCCACATGGCCCATTTTGGATACAGGTAAGTGCAGGGCATGCATGGGGGCTCTAGGAGGCCGAAAATGGGCCCATTTCCAGCTTCCAGAGAGTCTGCAGAGCCCGGGGAAGGTGAAAACAGCCTCTTCCTGGAGGCTCGAGGAAAACTTCCGGAGTCCGGGGAGGGCAAAAATGCCCCCCCACACCATGGTGCAGGAGGCCGACTAGGCCACACCCACTATGGTCATGCCCACCCAGCAATCGGACAGAGAACCCTTTGCTAAAATTTTTGAAGTCCACCCCTGTCTGAAATGTATATTACAAGTTAAATAAAGTGTCACGCTATGGAAGGTTCCTGTTCAGAAGGTCTATCTGTCCCAAATTTATCAAATTTTAGAAGTGTTTGTGGTACTTATACCAATCTAGACATGCCTTCTAAACCCATCAGGTTTTCTCTCTTATGAATGGAGTGTGTAATTATGGAGTGTGGATACTTGAAATATGAAAGGCAGGGAAGCAAGATTACCTTTATGTTGCCTGTGTGTTAGTCTCACTCTCCCCCACTATCACTTCTATAAGCCCCACAGGAGAAAAAAAAAAGACTTGTATGATACCACATCAGAGTCACAAAACAGCATGTAAGCTTTTCAGTTCTGAAGCGTTTTGGAGAACTCTTCCTCAGCAGGAAAAAGGAGGAAGAGGACTTGCTTTCTTTTTGAACTCTGTGCCTCCATGTAGATATAATCTGGGGCAAAGCAGGGACAGGTGGCCAGTGAATAAATTGATTTGTATCAAGGAATTTCAAATTTGCATTGATATTTCTACAAAGGCTCTCAGTCTGAAATGGGTGATATCGGGGGTGGGTTTCTACCGGTTCTGTCTACCTCTGTAGAACTGGTTGCTCTGAAGAGCAGCAGACATAAAACCAGTTGTATGTCTGCTGATGTTTTTGTCCACCTGCCCACCTGAGCTCTTACCTGATCTTTATTTCCTGAGTTTTCAACCTCAGCTGCCAAACGAGGCACAGCTGCAGTTAAAAAAGCAGGAAACGAGGGCTGTTTCAAAGGCTACTTCTCTGCACGCAGCGTACTGATGACGATTTACAGGCATGCAGTTCGCAGCATGCAAGGAAGCACATCATAAATCATTGAACCTCATAAATCCCGAACTGGTAGTTAACCCTGTCATATTCCACCCCTGGGTGATATTGATAGAAATGGAGAAATAGGAGGGTAGGATCTCCCATTTTTAAAAATAAATAAATAAATTCATGGCCTTGATATTTGAAAGCAAAAATAGAAAGAAGATACACAACTGAACTAGGAATAATTTTACAGGAGAGAGAAGAGGGAGGGAAGAATGACGGGAGGGAGGGAAGGGGAGGAAGGAAGGAAGGATATTTTCTTGAAAATATAAAAACCTAAGCTGGTTTGTGGAGAATATAAAAATGTGTATGCTATTCTATAATTTTAGACTTAAGAATGAGTTAATTACTTCAGTTTTGGAATTCTAGAATGTTGCCTTTTCTATGATGCTAGGGTTATTCCCACATATAAATAACCAGTTGTTAGAGAGATTTAATATCACATCCTCTCAAGGAAACAGCAATCTGATTTCATTGGAACAATGTTGTTTACCCAACAGAATGCAGACATTTGTGACAAGAGTAGTGGAGTTGAAACGCATTCAATGGGAAGGCTATCTGGCTAGACACAATGACAGCAGGATAAACAATAACCTGCTTTGCTTCCTGACGCCTGGCCTCTTCTAGTGACTTTCCAGTCTCTGTCAAAAGTCCACTTACAGCAAAGTCTCTAGTTTTATGGCCTCGGATTAGCCCATAAAATAACCTTATTTTAACTACTCATTCTCATCTATTCAAAATAATGTTCTTTTTGATGAACTGCCATAGAGATAACAGAAACTCATCCATTTCAACCATAATCAAATTCCTACAATAATATTTAATATACTGTAGAGCAGGGCTCTCCAACCTTGGCAACTTTAAGACTTATGGACTTCAACTCTCAGAATTCCTCAGCTTTGCTGGCTGAGGAATTCTGGGGGTTGAAATCCACAAGTTGCCAAGTTTGGAAATTCCTGCTGTAGAGAATACTAATGTTGATAGTACAGAAATCAAAATCAACTGTTTATTGCTGATGTTCTGCTTAATGCTGATGACCTCAAGATGTTTCCCCAATAGAATTAGACTATTTAAATCTGATTAATATGTAGAGATTCCAACACGAACCATTATTGCTTCTGTTTTCAGAGGTTTTTTGGAAACCTGGTGAAGCCCATTGCAAGTGAACTGAAATGGGAGACTGATGAGGACCATATCAAGAGGTGAAGCATTTGTTTCAACTGCCTTATATGCAAACTTGCTTTGGAGCATTGTATGTTGTGTATTATCTTTCAAATGACCCTTAGATGTCCCGCTCCACTGATGTTTATCAGCCCTTCCTTTATTTGTAGGATCAAAGTTACAGACAAATGAAATCTTGTTCATAATGAGATTTAATCATCTTATTTATGTTAGAGGAAGACAGCCACCCTTGTTAGTTGTTAAACAGACAAAAAAAACCCTAAACAGCTGTACTAATCAGCTTTTTAATCTGCATTTGCATGAGACAGAGAGAAAGAATGTGAGTTGGGGGAAGGTTTAAAGATAGTCTTAAAGCTTAGTGCTTCCAGATAAGGAGTACTATGTTTTTAAAATATGAGACATTACCCTGTCCTGTTTGGACACTGTTTCTTTCATTGATAATTTCCTTGTGTTGTCTAGTCTTGCTTCCACATCTTTTCACTGTAAAAAGAGTGTAGCACAATTGGAGTAACTGTACCATTCTCTTTGACTGATAGTTCTATCAGCCTTCCCCCAATTTCATCATCAACATTGACCCAAAACCTGTCTCCCATAGTGTTTGATCCACCCTAGGACAATATGATAGGGCATGCAATAATCTAACATTTCTCTTGAAGGAATATGATGCAATAATCAAATCAGTATCCTCCAGTGTCAAAAGTTCCTTTATGTGGTAAACATTTTGTTCATTTTCCAAAGTATCTGCATGATCAGATGAATCACACAGCAAATATTGGATTGTTTTCAAGCTTTCCATTGACAGCATAGCGTATGTCTATTGACTTCTGCTCCCATTTCTTTCTCGTCTTGACCTTCATATGCCTAGCAAGAGATCTGTAACTGGGATCTGGCTTTTTGTTTACTTGAATAGTAGAACTCTCACTATGAGCTTGCTTTATTCAGGTCCTAGACTGTATAAGCTGGTTTATTTACAGGTAGTTCTTGACTTACAACAGTTCCTTTAGTGACTGTTCAAAGTTACAACAGCACTGAAAAAAGAGACTTGGGAGCATTTTTCAAACTTATAACCTTGCAGCATCTTCAGGGTCAGATGATTTACATTTGGATGATTGACAACTGACTCATATTTATGACAGTTGCAGTGTCCTGGGATCTCCTTTTGAGACCTTCTGACAAGCAAAGCCCATGGGGAAGCCAGATTCACTTAACAACCATGTTACTAACTTAACAACTGCAGCGATTCACTTAACAGACATGGCAGGAAAAGTCATAAAATGGGGCAAAGCTCACAACAAATTTCTCAGCTACATGAATGTTGGGCTCAGTTGTGGTGGTCAGTCAAGAGCTGCCTGTATATATAATCTAATTTGAATATACCTTCCCTTTAGAACTCCTGTAGAACAAATAATTAGCTTGAATGCCCGAAAAAAAGCTTCTCTAAGTACTGTATAAAATAACTAGAGCAGGGGTGTCAAACTTGATTTCATTGAGGGCTCTGTGAGGGTCATGTTTGACCTTGAGGGGCTGGGGTGGGCGTGGCCAGGGTGGGCGTGGCCAGCTTGATGTCACTCATGTCAGCGGTGCCTGTGGTGGCCGAAGAACTCTGCCAGTGAAAACGGGCTCCCAATCTCTGTTTTTGACTGGGATGGTCTCCTGCAACCCCTGCCAGTGAAAACAGAGGTTCTCCCAAGTTCTATTTTTTGCTGGCAGAGGGCTGCAGAAAGCCGTCCCAGCCAAAAACGGAGATTGGGAGCCCGTTTTCGCTGGCAGAGGCATTGCTGGCCAGTCCTTTGCTGTTTCCAGGGCAGCCCCACGGGCCAGATCTAAGCACCCCTTAGGCCAGAGGTCTCCAAACATATCAACTTTAAGATTTGTGGACTTCAACTCCCAGAATTCTGGGAGTTGAAGTCCACAAGTCTTACAGTTGCCAAGTTTGGGGACCCCTGCCTTAGGCCTTGAGTTTGACTCCCCTGATCTAGAGGAACAAAGACTATGGGGGGGGGGGTTTCCACCCTCATACAACAGTTCCTATCTTATACTCTACCCCTGCTTTTCAGACCCTATTTCTCATTTTTAGAAATGGATTGCCATGTGTCCTATATAATACTGCTGTTTGAGGGTTGAATGTGTGTAGATTTAATATATTTTCGTATATATAATTTAATACTGCGGAAAAAACAATTACTACCAATGTGTCTCCAATTGAGTACCTATATACTGCACGAGTCAAAAAGAGGGCTGTGAAAATATTTACAGACCCCTCACATCCCGGACATAAACTGTTTCAACTTCTTCCCTCAAAACTATGCTATAGAGCACTGCACACAGAACAACTAGTCACAAGGACAGTTTTTTCCTGAAAGCCATCACTCTGCTAAACAAATAATTCCCTCAACACTGTCCAACTATTATAGTCTGCACTACTATTACTGTTAATCTTCTCATCACTCCTTATCACTCATCCCCTCCCATTTGTGGCTGTATGACTAACTTTGTCGCTTGTATCCTTACAGTTTATATTGACTGTTTCCTAGTATGATTTGATTGCTTATTGTACCCTATGACTATCATTAAGTGTTGTACTTGATGATTCTTGATTCTTGACAAATGTATCTTTCCTTTTATGTACACTGAGAGCATTTGCACCAAGACAAATTCCTTGTGTGTCCAATCACACTTGGCCAATAAAGAATTCTACTCTATTCTATACATAAACTATAGCATATTTCAAGCAAATAAAACATAGTTTTCCTTTGTCCTTTTCTCCAGCCTCCTTCGTACAACTGTTTTGGAATTTGCATGCAATATGGATGACCCAGAAGCTTTGGGAAATGCCTCTTCAAAGTTTAAGATTTGGATGACTGGATCAAGGTGACTATTCATACTTACAGAATGTGCAGATGCAGATGGTGTCCCTAAGCAAAGTGGCATGGAAGATAGGCCTCTTTCACTAACAGTATCATTCTCTTCTATGTTAGACTAGATGTAAATATCCGTCTCCTGGTGTACCGTTTTGGGATGCAGCAATCAGGTGATGAGCAAGCCTGGAATTATATGTTTCAGAAGTACACAACCGCAACATTAGCTCAAGAAAAGGAGAAACTTCTCTATGGCCTGGCATCAGTGAAAAACATCACTCTGCTGAACAGGTTTATTTAAATTATCTTTAACTTTCTATATTAGAAGTATTCATTTGCTGTTCTTAAACCCTGGTTCTCAAAACAACAACAAAAAGATTGGGGGAGGAACACGAAGCAGAGATTCTGAGCATTCTTAGTAGGCATAAAAGTTTAGCAAGAAGAAAGTGATTCTTAAAAGAATCCATGATTAATTTCCCAATAGATATAATGCAAACATCCTTTTACCAATGTTTTTACACTGGGGGCATGGGTTATGGTTTCATATACACAGGGTTGCCTAAAGCAGTAGTTTTGAACTACTGTGTTTTGTTGCCTGTGAACTAAGTTCCATGAAATTGATCAGGGGATTCTTTAATCAACAAGCACCATAAGCACATAATCTTGCAAACTGGAACTGAAAGAGCATGCTAGCTGTCAGCCGTGGAAGCCATATTTCATTTGGAAGCTTTGAGGTTGCCACATTTAGCGCCTGGGAATTTGGCAGGGGGGAATTTCATAGAGAATAGAAGATTAGACTCAACAACATTCTTTCTCAGAAGTCAAGGACATGTTATCCTGCACCTGGAGAGGAGTGCCTGGAGGAATGTCTCCAGTTGGGACGACGTTTGATTGAGCCATATGAGGGACTGGTGGGTGGAGGGGATGGATCTTTGAATTTCTTTTTGGAAGGGAAAACTGGGAAATCTCAGATTTGGGTTTTCCCAGATATGCCGATATAACAACTCTAATAAAACGGAACTTTGAGGAAATGCTTGTCTCAGAGTTTAGTGGGTTGGAGTTCATTTGTTGGAATGCTGATACTGTTTTGTGACAAAAGTCACAAGTGAATTAAGACAGTACCTGAATCATAGCCAATGCAATATTTAATTCAGAAATCTATCAGGGAGGTCTAGTCTAAAGCTTCTATCCTAGTCAACATGCTCCTTTCATCTTTCTTGACTGATGTCTGGAAGAATTCTGAAGTTTGTTTGTTTTAAGTTTCTTACTTCATGTAAATGAGGTTGAGAAAAGCAGTTTAAATCTCATTTTCTATGCAATCCTAATGAACTGCTAATCATTAGATGTAATTGCTTGTTGGTTTCTAGATTCTTAAATTGCATCAAGAATACAACTCTTATAAGAAGTCAAGATGTGTTCACTGTCTTGAGATACATCTCCTTTAATAGTTATGGCAAAACCATGGCTTGGGATTGGGTACGGCTCAACTGGGAATATTTGGTCAAACGGTAAGTACTGTTCACTCTCTTTTGGAATCCACCTTGATTTTGATTGGGAAAAAAAACCCTAAACAGAAGGATATCAGATTTTAACACCTCCATGTGCCATCAAAGCTGGAAGATAAATTCCCTCCATTTTATTGTTTTCTGTTTTATGAAAACAGCACACCTTTATGTTGTTATTGGCACAAATAATGTTTATACAGAACTTTCTCAAGACGTTTGGTGCCTCTTCTCACATCACATAATTAAGAAACAATGTAGATCAGAAATCTCCAAACTTGGCAACTTTAAGACTTGTGGACGTCAACTCACATAGCTGGCTGGAGAATTCTGGAAGTTGAAGTCCACAAGTCTTAAAGTTGCCAAGTTTGGGGACCCCGATGTAGATGAAGCTGAAAGGGTATTGAATCTCCAAGGCCTGATATTTGTGGTGACCCATGCTGGAACAGAAAACTGAAGAAGTCCAGAGGTCATATGTCCCCTATTCACATTCTGGGTTTAAAAAAATGTGCTTATATCTATGATTGGAATAGCCTCTGGACTCTCCTACTCTGATAGTCTATGGAAATGTAAAAGGTGAATTAAAACAAAGGACAGAAAAGGTCAATCAAAGCAGGAACAAGCCAGAGTATTTTCTCTTGTGGCAGCAAATCGTTGGACGAAATTGTTGGCTGCATCCCAGGTTCTAGCTTGAAGGAGACTCTTCCATTGCTCATATGGAAATACGATGCCCCTGCCAATCATATATTTTCTTCAATTTTGAGGCTGGACACAAGGTCTTCTGGAATGCCCTGCAGTAGGTTATGGAACTCAAGGGAGGCTTGTTTAATAGCAGGTTCTGTCCAATCAACTCAAAGAGTAAGCATGACATTATTTTGCTTAGAGATTGCTCTGGGGAAGGGAGCAATTTCGATTTCCTACATAGCCATGAACACGGCAATGGGAAATTAACGTGTCTACTTCCTGCAGTATAGAGGATCCCAATTAGGTTTAGTCCCTGAAGTGGCCATTAAGCTGAGAGACAATGATGATTCTGTTTCCACTAAGTGTTTTGTCTTGAAAACCAATATGTAGTAGCCATCACATTTTGCCTACATAAATAAGGATGTATAAAGAGTCGTGGTGGCTCAGTGGTTAGAATGCAGTATTGCAGGTTAATTTTGCCAAATGCCAGCAGTTCAATTTCAACTGTCTCAAGCTTGATTCCATCCTTCCAAGGTCAGATAAAATGAGGACCCAGATTGTTGGGGGCAATATGCTGACTCTGTAAACCACTTAGAGAGGGCTGTAAAGCATTATGAAGCATATACATAAGTCTAAGTGCTATGGCTATTGCCAAATATGAATATGTTCTTTTTCACAGATACACTCTTAATGATAGAAATCTTGGCCGTCTAATATCAAGAATATCAGGGACATTTAACACAGAGCTCCAGCTTTGGCAGGTAAGACACAATGTAGTTATCTACTGCTCAGCTGTCCAATTTTCTAGATATGAAAAATGCCAAGGTGCTATTTCCCATTCCTCTTCTAGATGCATCTATTTAATAAGATGGATGTTGATAGAGAAGAGGGGTTTCTTGATTGTGGCACAGGCAACCCATAAAAGTTTGCTGAGTTCTGATGTTATAGTCTTCAGGGCCTGTGTATTCTCCTGACACTTCAAAATAAAATTGGGCAGGTATATAAGCGTTAACTAGAATGAAAAAACCAGAACAAGAACTTGGTAATGGAAATCTAAAAGGAATATTGCTCCTATCATTTTTTTGATGGCAAACAAAATACTGAAATACATACAGCAGCACTTTTCAGCTCATAGCTAGCACAGAAGGCCACTGTTTCCCCAAAGGACTGCCTGAGCCATAGAAGCCAATCAACTCCAACTCCCCACCTCCACCAAACATAACAAAGTAAAATAAAACAATAACAAATCAAGGGAAAAATGTAATATCCAGCCACAAGCTTTCAAGTCTGTTGCAACCCTCAAAAGTTAATAAAAAAGAAAAAAGAAAGAATTTGTAGTCCTTGCTGGCAATAAAGTTTCCTAATCCATCCTAAATGTATTTATTTGCAGGACTTATATGGCCACCTAGCTCATGTGCAACTTTTGTTTGTTTTCCCCATTTGTCAGAGAGGGTCTTGTTCTTTTCCACTCTTTCTAGTTCTCCTGTAAATAGTCTCTATGAAAGTTGTATGACTCAGTTTAAGGTTGGAAGCAATTTAGAATGAAATCGTACATGGAAACAAAATTTGGACTTGTACATACCGCAGTACTAGCACAATCCAAACCAAGCAACTCATTAGCTGTTCTTAAGAAAGAAAAGAAATATGGGAAGTTATAACCAAGAATGCTCACAGAATACATAGTTAGTCCTTCCCTAATAATGTCACATGAAATGTGTCACCAATGATCTAAACTGGAATAGTCTGTGAATAGTCTATCTGCTCTGAAACATTTCCTGGTTGAGAAATATTATCCTTTTTTTTAAAGTAGGAATGTTAGCAACTAAGTAACTCCTTTTTTAAAAAAAAATCAGAACAAAATATAATTTGTAGAAAAGCTAGACCACTACAAGGGGATGAGTCCTGCCAAATTTAGAAATCAATTTCAAAAAGACTTTTAAGTTTTGCTACTTTAAAATAAAGTTTTAAGTTGTATAAGATCCTTGTTATAGGGGAGAGTGATATTGCAGGAAAATGGCACTTCCATGAAGAATATCTTTGGACAATTTAAAACAGCCAGATAGCAGAGGAGTTAATGATGGTAACATCTGATAATGCACACCTTTTGCATCTGATGTTCAAAATCATCAGTATCTAAAAGATTGGCTCATTGGTCTTTTCCTATCAGCTAGTTAAGACAACACATCAAACGTTGTCAAACAATGTGTAAGGGTGAAAGTCTAGTAAAAATCAGATGGTGTGAATGATAAAACAGAAGCTGTCTTTGGCTTCAAGAATTCTTCAGATTTCTGCTGATAGGATGACATGAGTCACTTGAACCAGAATGATTGGAAGGGTGACTTTGAGTTGAGGCTATAGATATTGGTCACTAAATTCGGTCTCCTCCTTCTCCCCACCTTGGTATTTCTTTCAACCAGTAAATTTTACCTCTAAATTGTTTGCTCTATGTCATGTAAATTATAATCTATTTTGAATTACTCTGATCTACTTCAGAATTCATGTTCCATTCCAAACCCAATGCATAGTGTTAAACTAGATGCATAACAACCCAACCAGGTATAACCAAGCTCAAAGCCTATTTACAAAATATATTTGATAATTAAGTATTGACTTGTAGATCTATGAAAAATTCTGCAAACTGGAGATACACGAAACTGTTTGATCTGTCAAACAATGAGAAACCAGTTCTATCTCTGTCATTAATATTTGCACATGTTTTATCTCCTTAAGATGGAAAATTTCTTTGAGAGATACCCTGATGCTGGAGCAGGAGAAGCATCAAGAAAACAAGCTTTGGAAACTACAAAGAGCAACATTGAATGGCTAAAACAATACCGAGATGACATAGCAACCTGGCTTGAAAATGCAAAGTAGCCGAACTTTATATAATTATGTCTTAGTCCTAATGAAAATTCTTAGGATTTTTTTTTAAATCTCACCAACATGGTAATTTTCAGAAATACTACATTTAGATTTTGACAGATCTGGCAACTTTGAAATAACTTAATTTATTGAAATATATATTGAAAATAGCTAGCTAGTCATTCTTAAATGTTCCTATAAATGTTTCTAATCTCTAATCTTCATTTGTTCACATTTTAATCGAACAAAATGTAAAATTATCATTTGCACAAATTATAGGATCTCCATTACCTTTACCAGTATTACTGCTGTTTGTACTTAACTACATATTGGCCACTCTGAAAAAGAATATTTTATACAGAAATATTTATTATTCCATGTGTTCAGGAGGCCCTTCCAAATAAAACTTCATAGAATCCATTCCAAAGGGAGGGATTTGCCTCTATTCAGGAAAAAAAACCCTAGATAATATGTATATATTCTGTTAGAAAATAAAAGCACAATCCAACGTTGCAGGGAGGACAGGAGAAAATTTTGAGAGACCGACAGACTAAAGTTATTATTCTAAAGTGACTGAGAAACCCAGAGCTTTGATAAAGATTATATCTATGGCAGGAGGAAAATGCATATTCAGAAAGTTCAGGTAAAGAATCTTTGGCAGCAGGCCTGATCTAAGAAGTCTCAACTTGAACCCTGAAAAGCTGTTATCACTCAAAAGAGAAGTGTTTGGCCTTGTCCTACAGCATCGGCCTCTATTTTTTTTTTTAATGTCCAGCTCTCACCTCCATATTATCATAATCTTATAGGCAAACACTAAGATCTCTCACACATTTGGACAATCTTGAATAGTTTCAGCCATTTGATTGTGGATTTTAACAATGAAAAAGGCTATGATAAAATGTTATAAACAAATAATTTAATCTTTCTGAAATGGGCACGATATAAAGTAGCTGAGCACAGCTGAGAAAAACAGCTAGAAATTAATTAGCCCAAAATCAAGGCACATGTCTGACACCAAACAGTCATCCAGCAGAGCAAATTAAGACCTTGAAATATCTGGATATTGTTTTCCATGGGACAGGCAACCATAAATCCCATGCCTGCTTTAAGTCCCATTATGTCAACTTAAATGTACACAAACAGCATCAACTTTACAGTCTTTCCACTTCTCCAAAGGAACTCAAATATATCTGCAGCAATTCAAGTTTTCTCAGCTAAGATCTGAGACCAGCGTCTCTTTGGAGTTCAGTTGGGCAACTACAGGTTATTTCTTTCTCTTGAAAGACTTCAATTCTAGCTTCTGAGATCTATTTCATTCCAAGTGGGGTATTTTGCCATGAAGCTGGCCTACTTAAAATAGAAAACTTGTGGGTCAAACTTGCTTTCCCCCACCGATTTGGCCCCTTTAATCATGACTTTCACTTTTTCTGGTGCCAGGCAATACTTACTCAATTGCAGTCCTATGGCTTGACCTGGGCAACTTTCACCCCAAAAGGCCGTGAACATGCATTAGCCAATCTTAAACAATGGGCCATTGAATCAGAACTGCAATCAGATTCATCGGTTCTACACGGAAAAATATTTTTGACCTACAATATTCTGCATATTTTCTCTGACCAGTTAGATACCTAAGCTTCATAATGGTTCCAAAATTTAGAAAGGCTTATCCTTGATTAAATGTAATGCCCTTCTCTTAAGACCTATTACTGAAGAAAGATCTAAAGCATCCTTTTGTGTCCATGAGGTGGAAGAATAATTGAGGCAATGGAACATGTTATTTTATATTGTCCTCTCTATGCAGGAATTATTTCCATTCTTCACTAAACACCTTGGTTGTTCTATCATTCTTAAGTTGTTTCTACCTGATCAATCTGATTTTACTTCACTGACCACAGCCAAGAATTGCTCTATAGCCATGATGGCGAACCTATGGCACGAGTGCCACAGGTGGCACGCAGAGCCCTCTCTGCAAGCACTCGAGCCATCGCCACAGCTTAGCTCCAGCATGTATGCGTGCGCACCTCCCACTGGCCAACTGATTTTCAGGTCTCTGCTGTGCATGCACGGGTTGTGGGTTGCATGAGGGAGATCCCTCCCGTGCCCCAGTTTTACTCCAAGGAGGCCTACTAGACCCAAAGCCAGGCAAGGGGGGGGGGTCACACATGCATGCATGGGGGGAGTTGCATGCGCATTATGGGTGCACTGCATTATGGATGCAAGCATGCGCGCATGATGTCACGTGCACACTTTTGGCACACGACAACAAAAAGGTTAGCCATCACTGCTCTATAGTTTGTACAGTACACTGTAATTATCTCCTCTCTTCTTTTGAATATTTTAGAATGTTATGCCTTCCTCTTTTACTTTAAGTTTGATTTTTTTTGTTTTATTCGCTGTTCTGTGACATTGATTGATAATAAATATTGATTGATAATTTAATCAGAAGTTTTTATGCTTTTATATAAGTAAGGTAATACAGCTGAGGGTTGTATTTCCAATCCCTGAAATAATCAGTTGTGTAGCAAAACTATCAGCCTCACAAGACAGATCAGACCAGAAAAAAAACAGCTACACAAGAAGATTAGAATTATACTTCATTGAGTAAGATTTTGTAACAGATGAAATAAAAAAAGGTACGATTTTACAGTAAAGGCCCATCATATTTAATAACAGAAGCCTGATTGTTCCTGAACTCCCTTCCTCCTTATGGCCAACGAATTGGGGAGAAGCTTTCCTGCGTTGCTTCCAAATATCACCTTGCTTTCCAAGACTTAAATCATGTTTCAGCCCCCTTTGCTCGTGTATCAGTTCTTGCATATTTCTGTCAAAGTCATCTCTGTTAGTCTACTTAAGTAGAGTATTCTGAATCATTGTAATGTAGTTTGTTGTCTGCAGATGTAGGAGGATAATCTGGCCACACACACACACACACACACATACACACAAATCTCAAAATTTGTTTATCTCTTCTAAATAGAGTTTTAGGTTGTACAGCTAAGTTTTTCCATTCTATTCATTACATCACACTGAATCATGGAAAAAAGATGGGTTTAATCGCCTGCAGTGGTTCATTTTGCATGGCTTCAAGTGCTCACTGGTACCTAGAATCAATATGGGGAATATGTAGGCATGAATACGTCTGCAAATTTGAACTTGCTCAGTTTATTAGTTACCCAGTTTTAAATTTAATTCATCTTATGTTTTCATTTTGTTTGCAAATTCTCTGTAAAAACCTGCCTCAAATTTTATACAGTTTTGGCAATTATTCTTCTAAGATACATAATTTTGTGTGCACTTTTTCTGCAATATAGAGATAAATACAATCTTCACAAATCCAGGAGCATGCATTTTTGTAATTTTAATAAGCATCCATACTATTGCATATATTTCTGCCCTAGGCTCGTATTTTGTATACATGTTTTTGCTTTGGGAAATTACAATTTCAAAAACCTGAGAATATCAAAATGTATTTTGATAAATATTTAAATGTAGACATAACACAAAGAAAAATTGTATTTATTCCTACTTTTTATTCCACACTTGCTGAAAGAACAAACATATTAAGTAGTTCTAATATTACAAATCAAAATAGTAAATTATATTCATACCATTGCAAGTATGCAAGCTTACATTTTATCATTATGTATTAACAGCAGCCTCTATTGGTAAAGAAAGGTCATTGCAAAGAATTAACATTTTAAGCTGCTTTATTGTTTAATCCATAGGAACATTTGGCACATATTGGGGGACATGACATTCTTGATATTGTGGACCACACTTAAAAAATGAGCACAGTTCTGAAAAAAAAAAATATTAATGGCGTATATTGTGCATTTCAGTGTCACATGAAAAATACAATTTGATTTTTAATGTTGAAAGGAACCCTGGGTGCTACATAAAAGATTTTTTTTTTGTGGGGGGGAGGAAAATAGCCTTGAGATTATTACAAAGCCTTGTTTTAAATAAACATTGCCCAGCTATCTTTTATTCTTCACAGTATTATGGTATTTACTATAGTTTCATTTTGCTGTCCTAACTTTCATTTCAGAAGACTATTACCACAGGCTAATTTTATTTATTAGCATTTTCTCCCTGAGTAATAAAAACTGAAAACAATATACAATATAATCCAGTGTTTGCTGTTTAGAAGATTCAGCTTTCTTTTGTGATTGATTTTAAAATTTTCTATTATGGAGCCAATCTTTGACAAAGAGAGACAAAAACTATTTTGGGGTTTTTCAAGGTTCTGTAACAGAGATGGTATTCAGCAGGTTCTGACCAATCCTGGAGAACCAGTAGCGAAAATTTTGAGTAGTTCAGAGAACCAGCAAATCCCACTTCTGACTGGCCCTGCCCCCTCTATTCTCTGCCTCCTGAGTCCCAGCTGATAGGCTGGGTCTTCTTTTGTTGCCCTGCACAGGAGAATGGCGCTGGAAAGCAGGTTAGTGGGGTGGGGAGGGAATGGGATTTTGCAGTAACCTCCCCCAGGAGTAGGGTGGAAATGGAGATTTTACAGTATACTTTCCCTTCCAAGCCCACCAAGCCACACCCACCAAACCATGCCCACAGAACCGGTAGTAACATATTTTGACTCCCACCACTGTTCTGCAAAAATGTGATGCGTAGGTTCTATGAAAGACAAACTGTAATCACCCAAATGCAGCCAGTTTTCTGTCTCTGCAACTTTATTCCTGGATCAGATGTTCCATTTTTTTAAAAAAAACAAAACAAAACCTAACAGGTTCCAAAGCCTGAAAATGTTTGAAAACCCCTGGTCTAAATGTTGCAATGGAGCAGCTTTCTCAAAACATATATCAGCTCCCACACAAGGAGAGAGACAATTCTGGCCTCATTCAAGTCATATCACAAGGTCTAAAATTAAAAATAGGACGTTAGGTGTCCTTGTCCATTTTGGTGCTCATGAATTGTTGGCCAAACACACAACTTCCCCAGAAGGCACTTGCAGAGCAGAGTCAGAATTATAGCTCAATATATCTGCAGGACAGAAAGCTGAGAAAGGCAGTTAGAGGTCATCAGCCCTAGTGATAATGTCATCCAGCCATTGCTGTTCACTACACAATCTGAGTGCATGGATGTATAACTTCACAGAAGTAATTTGATGATACTAGAGAACAGTTGTATCAATAGCCTGCAATGCTAAATCTACTCCTGAAAAAAAGCTGCCTTTTTGTTTTCTTTTTCTACTTAGGATTCCTCCCCATAAGGCAACTATTCAGCATGTTGCTTAGACTAAGTTAATGGAAGACAGGTTGAGGCTGCCGACATTCTAATGGACCTCTTCACATGACCATCTTCCTTCCATAAATTAGATAAACTGCACCAAGTGATCCTTAATTTTGCTTTTCACCCAGCAACCATTCTGTCAAACTGCAACCAAAATAATACAGAATGGCCGGGGTGGGGAAGGGGGAGGAACTGTGTTAAACCCTCTTAAAAACATTAGCGTATGAGGGGGTCAAATTCACATCATCACAACATTGTCATATGATGTATCATGACTTTTGCCCCTTCACTAAACTGGGTGTGGACATGGCCAGCGTGTGACGCATCTGTCTCGTGAGCCAGGAGTTTGACAGCCCTGCTCTAGAAATTACTCCCAAAACATGTGGGGCTTTTGCAGCTTTGGGACACAGGCTGCCATTCCAGGGGGATTCCCCAAACTGTGGCTGGAAAAGGCAAGATGGTGTCTGTAGTGGTGTTATTCAAGTCCCACCTGTTTATCATGTGCAACACATACCCAAAACAGGTGGAGCTTGAACCACAACTGTGTGGCAATCATCCTGGGTTTTTTTAAGCCTAATCTATGACCATCCCTACACCCCTAGGCAGGGGTGGGCTGCTGGGCAGTGGTGGAGACCTTACTACCAGGTCTGTGGGCGTCGCTTGGTGGGCGTGGGAGGGGAAGGATACTGTAAAATCTCCAGTATTTGGAGATTGGTATTTGGTGGTTCTCCGAACTACTCAAAATTTCTGCTACCGGTTCTCCACAACTGGTCAGAACCTGCTGAATTCGACCTCTGCTGCTGAGGGATTGAAGGGGGTCTGGAGAACCCCTAGCTAAGATTCTGTGCAGTTCGGAGACCCACCAAATCCCACTCCTGGCTGGCCCCGCCCACCCCACCCTGCTCCTCCCAGGAGTCCCCATGTGGCCCATTTTCTATGCAGGTAAGTGCAGAGCTCGCCTGGAGGTTTGGGGAGGGTGAAAAAATGGTCTCTCAAAGTTCGGGAAGGCTGGAAATGGCCCTGTTTCCAGCTTCCAGAGAGTCTCTGGAGCCTGGAAGACTGTTTTCGCCCTGAGGAGAGCCCGGGGAGGGCAAAAACGCCCCCTGTCATGGTGCAGGAGGCTGAATAGGCCATGCCCACCATGACTATGCTCACCCAACAACCGGCAGATAACCTTTTGCTAAATTTTTTGAAGCCCACCCCTGCCCCTAGGGTACTATATTTGGGCTGCAAAGTTCCTGCCAGTCAGTAAATATTTGTTTACTGTATCTCTTTGCTGCCATCTGGTGCCCACCTGAATCTTTTATAGATAAGAACTGGT